TGCGCGAGCTTGGACTCCATGATGTGTGAAATCAGACCTGCAGCGCCAATTATGCTACTCGGAGATTTTAACTGTGCTCTCCCACGACTCCCACTCGCTCAGCGTCCAGCTCAATGGGCAAGACTCCATGGCTTTAACGCATTTAGCCGCGAGTTACAGCGACTTCTGGACGCACATGACTTAGTAACGGCGGAGTTCAGATTTAGTCAGTCACTAGACTATACGTATGAGCGCGGTGGCTATTCGACACACATTGATCACATCTTAGTACCACATGACTTCATTTTTAGTCAGTTGCAGTCTTGCCACATCATTCAGCCATGTGTCGATAACTTGAGCCCACATTTATCTCTGATTTGCACACTATCCCTCACAGTAAGGCGGTGCCAGAAGGCTGCGGGGAGTGCATTTTCACCGGCTCGCACGGTGTTAAACTGGAGCTGTGATGTTCGGAACGATGAATACCGTAGACGTCTAGCCCAGCTTCTGGTTTTGCGCAATCCGGAAGACTTGGATGTCGAGCAGCTGGACAGCCACCTGACGGCATCTATTCATCGAGCTGCGTCCGAGTCCGGCTGTTCTCGCCGCTGGAAACCGCCAAAGTCTTGGTGGACTCCGGCTGTCTCTGCAGCCCGTGATCGCGCTCGGTTTTGGCACCGATTGTGGGTAGAGTCAGATCGTCCACAGCTGACGGTGCTTCACAGCTGTTTTCGTGCTGCACGGCGAGATTATCGACGAGCTCGTGTCGCAGCCGCACGAGCCAAGGTGGACGACAGCGCTCGTCTGATGGCAGCGTTTCGCCGTGACGGTAACGTAAAACAGTTTTGGCGGCAGGTTGAGAGAGCGCGGAGAGGCTCAGCTACCCCTCGTGCTTCACTCTCGGCTGATGATCTTGCTGACCACTTCAGCCTCACGCACAGGGACGGTGACTCTGAGGGGCTTGCAGCTGAGCACGAGACCGTTCATAAGTTAGTAGACGCATATAGGACATCTGCGCTTGAAGCACCGGGTCCCAGTAGGATCATAAGTGCCCGTGAAGTAGCGGGCCTTATAACGGAGCTAAACAGGAATGCAGCTCCCGGCCCTGACGGTGTCACCGCCGACCATCTTATCCATGGCTCTTCACCAACGCTTCTGGACATAATCGCTCTCCTCTTATCTGCCAGCCTGGCCGAGATGCGAGTACCGTACAGCTTCCGGCGAAGCACAGTGGTCCCACTTATTAAAAAAAGCAGCTTGGACCCAAACTGTCCGGATAGCTACCGACCAATTTCTTTGGTGTCCACGGTATCAAAGCTGCTCGAATTACTGCTTCTTCGAGAAATCCAACTTTCTTTCCGACCTTCAGACCTACAGTTTGGATTCCTTCAGCGCCGGGGCACCAGAGAGGCAACGCTACTCGTCCAGGAAGCGGCTGGCCACTATTTGTTGCACGAATCCCCGCTGTTTGTCGCTAATCTCGACGCTCGTAAGTGCTTTGACCGAATATGGCACGCTGGCATCCTACTTCGGGCTAAAGACTACTTATCTCGCCGAAGCTGGCTGGTTTTAGCCTTCTGGTATAGCGACCTCTCAGCACGAGTTCGGTTCGGAGGTTCTATATCGGATGCGTTTTCCGTACGACGAGGGGTGAGGCAAGGTGCGCTTCTGTCACCATGCTTGGCCAATATTTTCTTAAGGCCGCTGATACAGCAACTGGACGCTACCGGCCTTGGTGCAATGGTCTGTGGTAAGCATGTCCCAGTAGTGGCTTACGCTGATGACCTCCTAGTCATGTCGGGGAACGCACTTGACTTGCAAAAGCTATTGGATTCTGTCTCAGAATTCTCAGTTAGCTGGAGGCTCGAATTTGTTAACCCGGTTCCGAGCGCAACCAAAAGTCACTGTTTCATTTTCGGTGCTGGTCTTTTAGCCCAGCGACCTGAGTGGCACTTATGCAACCAGTTGCTCACGTGTAAGGAATACACTGAGCACCTTGGTGTTCAGCTGCACCCGAACCTTCAGGGCCGAGTGCACGTAGATGCACGCGTGTCCCGTGCACGAGGCGCCTATTTCGGTCTCTCCCGAGCGGGTTTGTTCAGCTCGCAGCTCCCTGGCCCTGACAAAGCTTTCCTTTGGCGAGCCATAGTATCCCCGACCCTGTTATTTGGTTGTGCTCTGTGCCCTCTGGGACCCGCAGACATCTCTCGTCTCGAGTCCTGGCAAGCAGCAACAGTCAAAGCTGCCTTACGTTTGCCATCCAGAGCCCACCACACAGCTTTGCTCGCTGCTCTGCACATACCGAAGGTGCAGGAGACTCTACGTCGCTCCATCATCGCGTGCTTCCGTGATGCGTTCCGCGAAAATCACCGCCTACGCCAAATTCTGGTCGCCAGCCTGGCCACTCTTGTTCTTGGGGATGCCTCATCGGGACACTGCGCGCCTATCGTTAGATTTATGTTCATCGTATGTGGGGCCAATATGAGTGTGCTTCTACAGGTTGCTGGAGGTCATATCCCACCTGAGATCATGTACACCCCAAGACCCCCCTGTGGAGTCACCGACTCGCTCAGTTGGCTCCTGGCTCAGAACACTGGGGAGGCATGGGCACTAATACAAATGATATTAGCGCCACCCATATGATAGTGTTATGTTGTTTTTGGTATGCCTATGTTTTGGTGTAGGTATGATTGTGCATATGTTTTCTGGCGTACGTCTTGTGTGCATTGTGTATGTTTGTTATGCCCATGCTTGTCTTGTCTCTAGACGTAATACAATTGATGATGATGATGATGATGATGATGATGATGATGATGATGATGATGATGATGATGATAAGCGCACCGAAATATTGTCACAAAATGGGTGCCCCTTTGAAAAGCAAATTGCATAACTTCCCCTTACGGGAAAATGTGCGGATTCTCAGCAGGGAAAAGCTACCATGCGATATCCTGCTTACGATGCAACCACAAAATAGCATCGGACTTACGGCGGCTTAGAAACGGGCATCGGGACCTGTTCCTTTGATTGACTTGTTATTGACGTGGGGCCCGTACTACACTATTATTGGAAGCATTGTTAACAAGCCCAGCTGTAAACTATTCGAGAGCTGCACGAACGTCCTAAAATTGAGCCAATTGAGGTTTACAGCGCATGCCAGTTCAGTGAAGTCATGTTGTCTAAAACTAATAGGGAAAACGTGACTCTATAGTGGATTTACGGCACCCGCGGTAGTCACTCCATTGGATATGTAGCGGATCATTTGTGTTCAAATATTTTTAGTTTTAATAAATCATCGCCGATATATTCGTTTCGTTCCTATTTTGTTTTAGGAGCCTCGCTGACCAGCCATGTTCCTCAAGTATTCTAACCCTCGCACGACCAGGCCATTTCTCATAACACGAACGACCAGGGGGGGGGGGTTGTTACGACCCCCCCCCCTGGCGTTTCGAAACGGAAGGTCGTAGAGCTTAGCGGAAAAAACCAACGGATTGCTCTCAACGAGATCTCGCGATTGGTGGTATATTTTTTGGTCCTAGGTCAACATTTGACCTACTTTTGACCGGTCAAAGGTCAAATTTTCGGAAAAATAGACTTTTTTCCACTTTCGGCGGCGATTGCGGCAAAACGGTGGGAGATATCGACTTGAAACCTTCACTATCGTGTTCCTTGATCAATTCTCTATCGTTTGGTATGTATTTCGTTTTCCTAGCTCTAAAAATGGCGCGTTGGGAGCGCCGGAAGTCGGCAAGGTCACAGTCGGCGGCAGAAATTCGAAAAATCAAAATTTAAATTTTTGAAATCTGATTGTATTTTTGGATTTGGGAGGTCCATTTGCTCCCTATAGAAGCTAATATTGCTGCATATTCCCATTGAGGTGACAAGAATTAGCAAAATAGTGGTTCGGGCGCTTTTCAAAAATAGTACCGGACGCTGTTCCTCTTGTGACGTCATAGCTCCGTGACCTGACCTGACCCGGTCAAATTTCTTATACCATATGATAGCCAATACTTGCCCCAACATGCATGGGAAGTTTCATCACGATCCATCAACCGATGTCCGTACCACCGGCAGGAAACCTCGGGCGTTGGCACTCAGTTTGTGAAAATCCGGCTGGAGGCTGTACCTCTTATGACGTCATAACTCCGTGACCTGACATGACCCGATCAATTTTTTTTCGGCAAAAGATGCGCAAAGGTTGCCCCAGAGGGTGTTGAAAATTTCAGCCCGCTACGACAAGCCGTTTAGCGTGCACTTCGAAAAAACATCAGGGGGGGGGGGTTGATACAACCCCCCCCCCCTAGGCGTTCTAGGGCTAATCAACTCTGGCATGCCCCTCCCCCCCCCCCCCTTCTGGTATTATCGTTTCCTTTGAACAGCGCATACGACTGTGCTAGCTGATACGGTCTGTTCTTAGACAGCAACTTTGTAACCACTTCTTCACATCTTATTGTCGTAATGTATGAGCTCATTTTCCCGCATCCGTGCCATCAGCTATCGTCCTGTACTTTTTCCACGCACACGCAACGTTTTTCAGGTTCATGTTTCTTTATTCATGTTATCTTTTCACGCACCTACATGCTCATGTATAGGTATCAATTCCTGCTCTGAGGTACGGGTTCACATGTCTCCCCTCTTATGTTGTTGTAAAAGCTCATTTTTTCTCACTCCCGCCCATAGATACGGGTGCATTTTGTCATTCCTGCTCTCAGGTACGGGCTAATTTATTCTCACTCCTGCCGTTAAGCACAAGTTCTCATGTGTCTCCCCTTCCTGCCTCAGGCACGTTTTCACGTATCCCCTGCCGTCAGCTGGTTCATATCTCCCCTCCCTCCCTCAGGTACGTTTTCACGTATCCTCTGCCGTCAGTCACGTCATATCTCCCCTCCCTCCCTCAGGCACGTTTTCACGTATCCCCTGCCGTCAGTCACGTCATATCTCCCCCCTCCCGCCCTCAGGTACGTTTTCACGTATCCCCTGCCGTTAGCCACCAGTTCTCATGTCTCCCTTCCCTCCCTCAGGTACGGTTTCACGGTAACCGCCAACATCCTGGTCTACACGGTGGCCTGGGTGGTGCTGGGTACGGCCGCCACGGCCGATGCCGACGGTGGTGACCCGGCCGCTGACGCGGCCAATGGCACCGCCGTCGGGAACTCGACATCTGGGGACGGCGGGGTCGGCCCGTCCGACGCGCCCCAGTTCAGGGTGAGTCGAGCTGTTTGCATGTCGAGCTGTTTTGCATGTTTGTCTATCTGTCTATCTGTTTGTCTTGTGGTTTTGTTTGCCTGTGTCTCTTGTCTTGTCCGTATGTGTTGTCTGGTTTGTGCCTATATATCCATGTGTTTTGTGTGTGTGGGGGTATATGTCTTTATGTATGCATGAATATGTGCATGTTTCCATTTATTTAATTTATTTAATGCTCCCGAGCGCTGTTAGACCCAAACTCCACGCCATTTATGTAAACACTCATGTTCTATCAATGTCCAATGATATAACAAGCGTTATGATATTTATCTGAGCTCAATTGACGCAAGCATGATACCACTTTTAGCTGGGCGCGACAACCTTTCAGCCCGATGACCGGCAAATCATGAGTAGTTTGTCCCGTAACCAGATACAGCTAGAGTACACAGCATTAGAAGTATGTATGCAAAGGCTCCTACATTGCGAACACTCGTACGAGGGCGCTTCATATCATGATGGTTCAGTTCGGGCAAGGTTACACGGTTTGGATGGTACTGGTTGTGACTGTAAAGAGCAGCGGCCTTAGCTAAGAGGGGCTGGGCTTACCAGTCTGAGTGAGTGGAACAGTGGACAGGAGAGTTGGTCGGCCCTGTGGAAGGGCTGAACTAGCATGTGGACAGGGTGGTATTGTCAAAGTCCACCGTCTAAATGGCCAGCAGAACTCTTCTATGGACTGAGTAGACGAAATATAGCTCAATTTGCCAGATTGGGCTAGGGGTTGGCGACCTCTTACCACACAATGGATCTTCCAAATTGGATACTCATTTTTTCCAGAACAATGCGAAAATATGCGTGCTAGCATTGTCCGTATTTCGCCTTTATGACCTCGGCCGGACCCAAAGGAAGTAGTGCCTGGTAGTTATTACGAAGATTCCAGACGGTGGCCAGTCTGGACTTGGAGGGGGCTCGTCGAGCGACCTGTGCTCCTATAACGTCAGCGGACTGATGTGAAAACGTTAGTGGGCCAATGTGATGACGCGATCGGACCAATGTGATGACGTTAAAATTTTATGATGACGTCGGTCGACTAGCCTGATGACGCCAGTGGGCTGGTCCGACGATATCAGAGACGTGATGTGATGATGTCAATAGACTAATGTGATGACGTTATTGAGATGGTCTGATAACGTTGGTTTCATTGCGTTTCTTTGATAACGTCGTCGACTTATGTCTGTTGGCTTCTCCCAGCGCTCTGTCTCTTGAAAATCGCATCTGACTTCCACGAATTTGAACCGAGTTTGCACTGAAGAGGAAGTCAACTTCAGACTAACCTCGTAAGACTCGCATAAGACTGTGCCTTATATGACGTAAGCCTGCCCAAAGTCTATCGGGCACGAGTGTGGGGATGGGAAGGTAGTCCGTCAAGGTTGAGTGAGTTCGAGTGGTTGCACTTCCCTGAGATTGAGCGTCTTTGGTGGACCCCACACGATGATCTTGTGAGGACTCGCTTTGTTAATACTATGTTTTTACCAGTATGAAGTGGATTCCATTTCTCTTCACATGTTCCTGTGCGTTAATAAAATTGGCGTCATAAAATATGCTTGAGTGTGATTACCGTAGCTGCACAGCGCTGAAATTTTTACGTCTTGTTCCAAGCATCGAAGTTTAGTGCATAAGCACTCTGGTGTATGATGAGACTCTGTGTCAATCCTGATCAAGATCGTATGCATAAGATTATCGCGCATCACCAGTGCCCTTCCACTCTGTGTGGCTATTGTGAGCCCTCACCAAAACAGTGGACACATTAAAAAGAATAAAAGCCAATTTTGACACTTCGTTCCCCCTGGAGCGTTACCCAAGTCCCCTCTGACACCCTTCCCCTCTCCACCAGCTGATCGTGCTGTCCACGATGGCGGTTGGCATCGTCACCACCGTGGTCTTCCACATCTTCACCAAGGAGCCAGCGTCAACACCCCCTCCCCCGCCGGCTGTCCAGCGGTCCAGTACGTGTCCAGTCCCGGCGGGCGCGGCGCCCGGGGCCCGGCCCGAACCGGCGACTGTGGGAGAGTGGCTGAAGCGGACCGAGTTTTGGATGCTCAGTGTAATTTACATGAGTGTGCGGCTCTACGTGAATCTGTCAATGGTAAGAGAATAGTACTGGAGGGAGGAAGGGGGAGGGGAGTTATTTTGCGGAGGGAAACCATGTAGGGGAAGGGGATATATTGGCGTGTATTTGTTTTTAGTTGTTAGACGGGTAATTGTATCGAAAGTGGTTTAAATCAATGGGCGTGGGGGCTGCCAAGATTGGGGAGAATTGTAGGGGAAGTTGTGTTGTATTTATAGCTGGGGATGCTAGGCTTCAGGAGACATCGTATCGCTGAAAGATAACTTCATACCTTTAGTAGGGTAGAAGAGAACATTCGCTCCTCATCCTTCTGGTCAATTCTTTCATGTTCCTTGTCAACAGCGGGTTAACCGGGAAGTGCCTCTCATCCCTTGCTACTATCAGTCAGATCGTCCTGTCATCGTTGACAGCACGGAGTGCGAATGACCCGCCCTCACCCACTCCCCCTCCTCCGCTCCTGTCGGGAGGGGTTAGGTAGCGCACGGAACTAACGCGACGGCGGTCGGGAGGGGTTAGGTAGCGCACGGAACTAACATGGCGGTGTGTGGGCACTTGTCGGGTCTCTGCGACGGGGGTGGGGGTTACTCGTCAGGACCAGTCACGCGCTTCACACGGCTGCCTATCGTCAGCAAGTGCAGAGAATGACTTGCTAGTTCAGCCACTCATCAACAAGAGGGTTAAGTCAAAAGGTTCAACTCGCACTCTCAAGGATTCGTATGACTTGATAGGCGGGATAAGTTATTTTTAAACCTCATCGCCGATGTGAACGACTTCCTCTCGTCTGACGCTCTGTCTTCTCTCTCCCCCCTCTTTCTCTCCCTCTTTCTTCCTCTCTCAACAGACGTACATTACTTTGTACCTCCACGACTACTTGCACGCGCCCAAGACGTCGGTAGCCGTGTTCCCGCTCATCATGTACATTGGCGGCTTCTTCGGCTCACTGGGTATCAAACTGCTCAACCACCAGCTTGGACGAAGGGTGAGTGCGAAGGGCGGATTTCGGGAGAGATGAAGATAGCAAATAGTAAAGTAATTTTAGGTGATAGTTACTGGTCTGGTGCTCGTTCACTTGGATTGTTATGTTGTTTTGTGAGATTACTTTTGACATAGCTATCGTTTTTATGCCAGATGTAGAATGGTGTTTCGCTGTCAATTTCATGCAAAGTGCTGTTGGCTGCAGTTCTGCATTGTGCTATGTTGTTAGACCCCCAAAGCTCGCTGTGTTGTTGGGACAGAATTACACTCGTTTCTCACTAGTCATTCCGCTTTGAACTGCTCAACCCACATTTTCCCGCTCACTAATTGAGCTTACCTTCCCCTTCCCCTCCTCCATCCTCGCCCCCTCCTCGCTCGACTAACCGCCCCGCCCTCTCCTCCCTACAGATCTCACTAGGCATCGGCGCGCTCCTGGGTATAGTCTCATGTCTGGGAATCTTCTTCGGCGAGGGTGAAGTCTACTCCAGCTACCTCGTGTACGGCGTAGCCGTTCTCCTCGGCATGGGCGGCAGCATCATGCTGGTGACGACCCTGGCGGCTACCTCAGACATCATCGGCACCAGCGTGAAGGGCGCCTTCGTCTACGGCGCGCTGAGCTTCTGCGATAAGCTGTCTAACGGTGCTGTCGTGGAGATCATCCAGAACATCATGTCCTGTACAGCGTGAGTTGATCAATTGAAAGGGAGGGGAGCGTTCGAGGGTGTAGAGGAGAAGGGATTTGATTGTAGGCATAGGGAGACGAAAGGTCGTGTATTTGTGGGAAAGTACGGTAGGAAAGGGATCAGTAAGATGACAGTCATGACATGAAGGGAGGGAGGGGTCGTTGTGGGTGGTTGGTTCAGGGGGGGGGGGAGGGGGAGGATGAAACCTTCCGTATCCACTTGCTGGGACAGTGGATACGGAAGGGAGTTTGCGAGGAAGTAATGCACTGAAAGAGGGAGTAAGGTACAGGAAGAAGGATGGTACGGACATAAAGTGGTCATTGTGGGCACAAGTGGGATGCCTTTGATATGCCGCTTATGGTGACGAGTGATTCTGAATTAATTGCAATGCGCGGCTTTTGTATTGAGACCCATCACTTTTGTGGTGTTCGGTACGGTTCCGTAGAATCATGGACTTTTTCCCTTTTAAACGGTGGATAATAACCTAGATAATGACATCTCGGCAAACATCGATAGCACAATCTGTGAGTTCATGTCGAGATTCATTGTTTGAACTAAGTGAGTGTATCTGAGTTTTTTTGTTAGAGATGTACTAAGCCTTGTGTTTTTAGCAGTGATTGTCGAATCTCCCTTACCGACAAGGTTGTTTTTGCAGTTTCATGTTGTCGATGATGAAATAACTAAAAGTAACTAGTATGCCGACCGAGAAATTTAATATTAATTCGACACTGCTGCAATGTCCTTCAGGCTCATAAACTTTATTTGGGACCTATAAACACCTATTGTCCAAGACAATTGCTGATTGCAAATCATGCACTGAGTGCTATGCTCTTTAAGACTTATCTTCAATGCACTATCAGGCTGAAAATCATTTCCGCGTGAACCACGCGCTCTCAGAAATGTAGAAGATATTGGCATTCTTTTTAAAGCTTAAAATACCTTAAGAATTTCTACAGCTTCTACTTTATTCATGCTATGTGGGCGTTCATAATACCCGTCTCCAAACTAGCCACCCACGGTCCGTCCTTGGTCTCAAGTTGGCCGCTGAATCAGCCCAGCCTCCGCACGTTTAGGGGCGTGTGAAACGGCCCACAATCAGTGCTGGGTGCGTCACATGATCAGGCGGATCGTGAAAAACTGTCTCGAGAGGTGTCTGAAGTGGTCATAGCTGCCCCACGCCGGCTTTGTCTCTGATTGTGAGAGGTGTGCGTCAATACCTGCTCCGGGCTTCCGCACTGGGAACGCTGAAGGACAAATGGAATTGTTTTATTTAGTTTGAATATAATGGGTATTGGGTATGAATACATGAAGAATCATTGACCTTTTCCTCGAACAAATAAAATCAAAGCCAAAACTTATATTTAATACAGATAGCTTTCGGCTACAAGCCTTCGTCAAACCAACAAAATTACACGATACAAAGTTCATGTTAGGACATGGGTTTTGTCAGGGCATGGATGTTGTATCGTGTCATTTTGTTGGTTCGATGAAGGCTTGTAGCCAAAAGCCAATCGTGTCAATTATAATTTTCCTTTGGTTTGATTTTTTTTCGAGGAAAGTGTCAAAATTCTTGACATATTTATACTCGCTATGTTCCTCGCAAAAGCACGTAGCACCATGAATGTAATATGCTGAGATTATTTGAACCATGGCCGAGGTTAAGGCCGGGTTCATTCTCTTCGCTGATTTTCTTTGCCCCTAGGTTTTTCCTAGTTCTATTACATTTTCCTCTTCAGTTGTGTGACTGTTTTGTACATCACGAGATAGGTACTTTAAGCTCGCTCGTTGCATTCGACTTATTTGATTTGTTCGCTTCGCCAAGCTCGTTAAATTTTATTCATGCTCTTTTCCCAGTCTTGTTTTATTCATTTTTTATCACGTACTATCGTACTACGTACGATACTATCTTTGACGTACTATCTTTGAATCCCCACCTGCCAGTGGTTTTGTAACTTCATTTCTTTATGCGGACCGTGCAAGCCAGGGTGCATAGGGTACATCGGAGCTGCAGAGCCGCCATTGTTCAGTTATCAATCATCAGACATGCCTTTTGTTTGGGTACTGAGACACTGACGGTAGCATTTTTCACGCTTGTCGTTATATGATCCCAGTGATTCATCAAACTGACCGGTTTATCTTTCTTTCCTTTCTCCTCACCTTCTACCGTCGTCTCCGTCCTAGGTACGGTTGCCGTCGCCGTTACCATCACTGCCCGCGCACTTTTCATTTCATTGCCTTACCGCGTTTTCCACCTTTCCCATTGTCCATTTTTCTATATTTTCACCTTTCCATCTGTCCGTCTGTTTATCTTTTCACCCGTCTATTTGTTCGTCTTTCCGTCTGTCCTTATTCACCTTTCCATCTTTCCATCTTACCACCTGTTCACTTTTACAGCTGTCCATATGTCCAGTTCCACCTCTCATTGTTGTCACCTTTGATTCGTCTATTCGTTCACCTCCACCATTCGATATTCTCTCACTTCCCACCTCTGTTGTCGTTCGCAGTGAGAACGAGAAGGAATGCGGCGAGCTCTACAAGTACGTCCTGGTGGTGATGTGCGGCGGCACATCAGTGGTCGTGCTACTCATCATTCTGTTCTACCGCTCCACCAAACTGTGGCACCCGCGCGAAGGTGAGAAACGGGTGGGATTAAGGCGGTATTTTGTGGGTGCTAAAGGGAGAGGGATGAGGGGAGAGGACAGAGTTGTGTTGGGGCGGGATGGGGATAGCGGCTTTCGGTTGTCTCTGGGAATATTGGTATGTTTAGGAGGGTTATGAGGTTTGAGGTGTTCGGGCTTGGTGTGGTTGTCCCTGTGTTTGCTGGCCACTTGTGCTGCCTAACTTTTCATGTGCTGATGTTGCTTGGTGTGTGCTCAGAATAGTTTTTATGACGTGTGACGAGTGGCAATTTTGGATTTAAATATAATCCTACCCCTTTTCCTCTCCCTCGGCTCTTGGGCTTCAGCAGGTAACAATGGGCAACGTTCAAAGCTTCATAAAAGCATTAATTGTTTGACGAATGATATTTTGACGTCAATTGGTACATTTTTTGACGTCAATTGGTACATTACATTTTCTGTCTCCAAAAGACCGTATTTTGTCATTTATTGATATTTCTGATGTTGGCATGGAACCATTCTGTCATTGCCGGGTCCTGTCTCTAATTTATACACCTTCTCACACTCCTGCTACGTACTCGATACGCTTATTTTTTTTTTTTTATAAAAGGTTGCACCATAAAATGATTTAAATGCGTGCTACTTTAGCTACGTTCCAACCGCCAACCGCGATCGGTAACGAACGCATCCTATACAAGTCCGTATCATCCAATCACAGCTGATCCTATGTGGCTTCCGATCTTCGAGCCGATCATCGGTCCATCAGCTGTTGGCCACTCGTCGTCTTTGTCTCTCTTCTCGTCCGTCCGTTCATCATCGTCTGTCCGTCGTTGCCACTTGCCTTTGCCTTCGTGTACCTACGTATCTGCCTTTCCATCCATCCAGCCGTCAGATGCCATCAATACTTTTTCGGCAGATTCCGCCTATCCGTCCTTCATTCAGCTGTAGTTTTTCGTCATTCGACCTTCATCCAGTCGTCAGTCTCCTCCTTGTCGATTCCAGCAATCCACCTTTCGTTCAGGCGTCATATTTAGTCAACCCGTCCATGGTCAATCCATCAGACTCTGTCCATCCGTCATTCATCCAGCCGTCATCTTTGGTCCCTCCTTCATACAGTCGTCATTTCATTATATCCATCCATTATCCGTTCATCACTTTTCTTCCATTCACCCTTCATCCAGCCGTCATCTTCCGTCCATATTGGCCCATCTCTACCTCTCCATCCTCTTCGGCTGAGCATCTGCGTGTCTGCGCCTGTGTTTATTTGTCGTCGTCCGCCTATCGTCCGTCCGTTTGCGGTGGGTGACGCGGCCCGGTCCGTGTGTCTGTCTCTCTGCAGAGGATCCGCTGTTTAGCCACAGCGAGCCACCGTCCTCCGCCGAGCCCGACGAGCGATCTCCTCTTCTGGGAGGAGGTGGTGGAGACGACACGGCCACGAGCTCGTCATACAGCAGTACAGAGCCGTCCAGCGCGAGCTCCGAGTCGGGTCCTTCGACCGTGGACTGCTGACCAAGAGGGTGACATCGGTGATCGAACTGCGGGCGGGGTCGAGCGGGGCGCGACTGGACTCTGACTGAGGTCGCCAGAGGGTGTGTTTGTGTGTTTGTCATAGGGTATGGATGTGTATTGATTTAGAGTCCCTGTGAGGTGTGGCTTTACACTAGCCGGAAACTGTTTGTTTTGTCCGTGTCTGTCTGTCCCCTGCCCTTTGTCTGTATCTTTTATTTTCTCTCTTTTGATCTCGGAACTCTCTTCTCTCTTCCTGTCTGACATCCTCTATTTGCTCATGCTCTCTTTCTATCTTGGATTATTTTCACTTTCTCAATAGCTCCTTCTCATGCTTCGCCCAACCTTTCTTTCCTTTGTCAACCCTTTTTCCGACGTGTCTTCCATAATAGTCTGTGATACATTGCGGGACCTGCCCACAGATTGCGAAAAACTACATTCCCAAGATACGTGCGTAATTATCAGAAAAAGATAGGTGCCTACTTAGGTGAGCATTAGTCGACAGGCTGTTTAGTGATGCATTTGCCCTCTTGTTGTCTGGATTATACGTCATTGTGTGAATGTATGGTGCTAGTCTGCCCATTACTTTGATGGCAAGATTGTCCGTTGGAAGGTTTTTGTGGTACTGAGATGGTAGTGTACAATGCACATGGCTGATAGTGACTTGGCACTGTGCAATGTTAAAATGATTACCATTCTGATTTTTACAACTACTTTCATATTCCCCATTAACTTTAAAGTGAATTATGATGGTCTTTGAAAACTTTTCTGCAGCCACATTTAAGTTAGTTTTACAGATGTTCGCAACATTTTCAGTTGGCTGGTAGACGGAGCTTAGGTGGCGTTGTTTGCATCCACGAAAATAAAACATGGGTGTGTCCATTTAACCTTTTATTGCCTTACAAACTTAGTTTGATTCCTATATTGTCTTGATTCGGGTTATGTCCCAAATATTAATTTGTCACGATTGTTTATATTGGAAGTTTTAACGAGAGCAGTCCATGCAGAGCGGTTGGAATGGGCCTGGAAGTCGCATAGATTTTGTACTTTATTATAGAAGTTGCTAGATGTCATTGGATGCAGTACTTGTGCATGGTTCGAAATGCGAATACTGTCTCTGGTGTTTGTCTATGGTCCGTGTTTTCTGCGTTTTATCTATAAGACCGTAAACGTGTGTTGATATATCTGCGCTGGTCACTGGGCAGGCATCTTGCAGGATCCCTTTATCCGTTTGGCTGACATGGATGATATCTTTGTATGTATCGGCGAATGAAATGATGTAAAATTGTAAAGCTTGTACGACTTTGTAATGTCATTTTAGTGCGTTGGTAGCCTGGTATATTTTGCATATTTGTATTCGTTTTCATCGTCCTATTTAACTATAATGTAGTAGCGAATGAGCTGTGAAGTGTGAACTGATTTGTGACATATATGTATCACTGATTGTTCATAGCAACTATCAAGAGCGAATGAACTTGAATAATTATTTAACTTCGGGGCATGAAACCATCTTTGTTTCCCTCTGAACGCTAGGACGGGAGGGCGATAGGTTGCCCGCTATCAGCATTTGCTTGTGACTTGCGAACTTCTTGCTGTCGCATTTGATTAAAAAATTGTTCTATCAGAACGCTAGTTCACGTTTTCTTTCCGATATTCATTTAGGTATCTGGTTGACGTGGTTGGCACTTAAGGTCGGAGTTCTGAAGGAGAAACATGCTTGTCATGCCTTCTAGTGTTTTATGCTCATGTTTTTCATTTCACCTTCGGTCACAGATAAGGTACGACGTTTAAGGTTTTTAGCCGTTTCGGCCATTTTCATGTAGACTCAGCGGTCACGGTCAGCATTTGTGTGAACATCGCTTACCAAATTAATATCATATCGGGCTTCCATCATGTCTTACCTTTTGTGCATGAGTCGCTCCTGAGCTAGCCGAGCCAGCCAATTGGTGCCTTTGCTCACTTTCCCGTCTAGTGCCATGGGCTGCCTGTTCCTTGCAGCCAATATGAATGCGATTTTCGAGTAGTGATTCCATGTCTCGTGAGCTCAATACATGCACTTTGTAGCCGCTATATTCACTATTCAGTATCTGCTGCTACCTGTTGGTGTGCGTTCTGTAGCGCACACTGCATCGAGATTTTTCCATCGATAAAGAACTATCAATGGCTGAGATGGTGTCTGCTGGTACGAATTTCGTAACCTGAAGTTTGCTCATGACATGAAATTCTTACGAAAGCACTTCACAATCAATATATCATTCTAGCTTTCACAACCAGATCACTGTCAAAGGGCGGGATTCCGTCTGAGGCGGAAACCTGGGTCACACGCCAGGTCAAAAGTCACGTCCTCAATACCTACCCCGCTGCGCGACTGGTGAGCTCGAGTGTGGCGACGGCGGTGCCACCTACCGCCCAGCGGACGAAGCTGATGAGCGGTGTTTGACCGAGGATCAGTAACTGTCAAATTGCAGAAACAGCATGAGCAGAGGCGATCGAGAGACGTTCGGAATTCCCTGTCAAGTACCTGTGTGCTCTATTTCTGTCCACTAGATGATGCCTTATCGTGTTAAACGTTAAACATGAGCGTATGTTACGGTACGGCAATCTCGGTTTATTGCTGCACTGTGTCTGATGATTCACTTGAGACGCGTAATAGCAATACGGCGTCACACAGTCTCCGCAAATACCTTTGGCTCTCATTGACGTGGGGCGCTTATGTCACTCTTCTTTTATCTTGGCTTAGAAGTGTTTTGATGCTTGGTGCACCCAGCACAAAAACCATTCTCTGACTCGATCAGTGCACCCAGCACAAGAACCATGCTTCGACTCGATCAATAGCACGCAGTTTTTAATGTTGCAGGACTCTCTCTCTCTCTCTCTCTCTCTCTCTCTCTCTCTCTCTCTCTCTCTCTCTCTCTCTCTCTCTCTCTCTCTCTCTCTCTCTCTCTCTCTCTCTCTCTCTCTCCCTCTCCCTCTCTCTCTCTCTCTCTCTCTCTCCCTCCCTCTAACCATCCCCGCCCCTACTCCCCCAGAGAAACACCGCACCACCAGCCGCCTCTCGCTGACGCCTTCCACAAGAAAATTCTCCGAGGCTGCCGTCTCCCAGGCACGCTCTTCAGTCTGCAGTCGTCGTGAATCCGTCATCCCAGAGGGAGTGCTCTTTGACGGGCCTCTACCTGCGCTGGATCTTCATGATACACCTCCTGATGAAGACGGATGCTGTGATAACCCAGTGATGGAGAATCCCGCGGGGGTGGGGGCTGAGCAACATATGTGAGGGGGAGGGGGGGGGGGGTCGGTGGTGGGGCGTGTGCGCTCGGTGGGCTGTGGGGAAGGTGTTGGACGGTATGGAGAAAAGGGGGAGAGGCTAGGTAGAGTGTACTAGTGTTGATGGCTCGTGTGAGGCCGTGCGTATGTTAGGGTCTTGGGCGATCCGACAAGACCGGTAAATTTATGTTTGTGATGAAAGAAAATGTAAACGACTTCGAGCTGCACGAAAAAGGAAAAACGATCCAATAATTTTATCCTAACCTTTATCATAAATTCATGCGAAATAAAACACATGACTGCTTTACCATATTGAATAGTTACTTATCATCAATATCTATGCATTACTCCCTCTGCATTATATTATAATTAATTCATTATCGTACGGTGATATGATAAATATCGTGAAGGTTTCCAAAGTGGCCTGGGTCGCAGTACGGGTCGGGTCGAGAGAGTCCCTCTCAGCTCCCTCAGATAATCCCAGTTGACCTTCGGCCGGAGGACTATGTGAAAGGTGGGGTCCGTCTCACACCGATTCGAGTGGTGGTCAATCAAGGTGCTTCAGTGATGTTATATGCCCCCCGGCCGGAGGGGTCAACGTGGGGGGTCAGGATGGAGGTTATGGGGTCAGCCGGGGCATAGATAAACAAGTCGATCGCACGGTTCTAAGGCAGTGTGAAGTGGTATGGGTGTGGCACTAACAGACGTTGTTCCGAGGGGGCAACGACGGAGGGGGGGGGGGGGTAGTTGGTGACCCTGAGGGGATACTTTCGTGATTCGTGAACTGTGATCGCGCTAGATATTTAAGAATGGCTGCTAGTTGCTACGAAACACTTGCACATTCAATGGATAAATCTAATCAATCTATTTATAAATATATTTATCGTTTAACGTGCGGCTAGACACAGAATATCTTAGAAAAGCGGGTATATAGACTACATTCGTCATAGACGATCTGTACAGTGTATCTAAATGTGACAAGGAATACGTGTCCAGTAATATACCGAATTGAGTGTTATCCCATGATCGAGATGTGCTATTTTTTTGATCAGACAGAACGGCAAAAATATGCCTTTACGTTGCTTGTAGACAGTACTTCACATAGTGGTTATTGCGCTTATGGTGGAAGCGAAACATGTGTTTGGATCTTTGTGTTTTATCCGAGAGTTATGAAGAACCTCAAGTTGCAAGGTTCTCGCCAGGCTTCCGTATGCTGTATCGATAACAGGAAACTTGGTCGAAACTCTGCACGATGTCATGGCAGTTCATTGGTCTAATCTGTGTCTCCTGATTATTGGTTTTAATCTCTCCTAATCACGTTTAATCATCCCTCGCGACCCCACCACCGGACCTCAGCGTTGTGTGAGTTCAACCGAGTGTGTGAGTTGAGCCTGAGTTGAATCTCCCAGCTTTCAGCAGTCAGTACAAAGGTACATGGCCAGTGCGCCTTTCCTAGTGTCATTGCTTGCCGGGAGAGGGCGGCGCCAAATGTCACGCGTTTTATCGTGCCGAAAATGGTGTGATAATTTTTGCGCGCCCCGCAGTGAGTTTGTGTATGCCTGAGGTCCGATATTTTAAGGTTTATCGATATGGCATTGTTCATAATGTGTGTTTGGCGAATTCCGGGTGGAAATAAATATACTAAGCTTGAAACGCATTAACCTGTCTAACCGCTAGTCTAACCGATCAAGTAGGTATGGCACATTACTAGACGAAGACTTGACAACGAGGACACCACAATCCACATCAGCCAGATGTCGAATGTTAAAAGTGTAGCTTTTCATGTGCTGGGAGGCGAATTTAAATGCTAAAAAACACATGAACACAAGTTCACGCCCGTTTCAATTTTCTGTCGCAACAGAAACGCCATGTGTGAGAGCCGAGACTCCGAGAGAGCAGAGCTGAGAGCTGAAAGCACTTCGTTATCTCCATGGCACAATTTTAGGGACGCCGAAGAAACATATAAACTTATAAGGAAGAGACATTAGGCTGGATGGACCACCGACTGGCCGCTGGCGCGAAGCAGCGGATGAGCGGCCAGTCTGTTGGAACCTGGGTACCCCGGTAGGACAGACCACTACGCTCTTTTCAAGCGATGCTCCCAGAGTAGATAGAGTTAAGTGCTCTTCAGCTCGAGGAGTGCTCCGACCATGTTGGTTGGAGCTTTGTTTTGTTGTTTTGTTGCCTTTTGGGCTAGGCTCTTTCGGTCCGACAAGACCATTTTAGAGCGGAACCGGCTACGGGGTGCGCTCCCTCGGGAGCAGCGGTGCCGCTCCAAGGGAGCAGCCCGCATGAGATAACTAGGTGCGTGTCCAGCCCGGAGTGGTGGTTGCGGCGTGGAGAAGAAGGATTTCAGTATCCTGAGGACGGAAACGACAGAACCGATGTGCTGGAGCTGCTCCCCATCCGTTGACTGGTAGGGTGACGCTGACAAGTCAGGACCTTCTGCCCGGACCAGGGAACCTGGAAGTCAAAGTGTGATAAAATGCGGATGGGTTCGTCCAGGGGAAAGGTAGACGCGGTGCAACATTTCCATTTTTCAGCTTTTTGACTTGTGGTCACAATTCACATCCCGACCGGACATGGAAATTGGAAAGGACCTCGGAAGCCGGAACTTACTAATTGTAATCCTGCGATCATCTATCATGCGTCGAAAATAACAAGCTGTAGTTTAGTACTTGGTCACCAGGTGGCGTTACGACTCACGAGAACAGCCTGTGACACCGCGATGTGGCGCAAATGAAGAGTGAAAATGGTGGCCTGGGATTCGGAAATAGGAGCTTGCTGATCCATATCAATCGAATTATTTTACTCCAATGAAAGCTAAGTCATGGTGAGCCAAGCGATACTGCTGACATGGTCAGATTTTACTTGACCCATGCCACCCCATCGTCTTTGTGGTATAAATAAAATTTAGTGGCCGACTCTCGACTATTGATTTGTGACGTGATGAAGATGGCGCTGAAGTCGTTTTCGCCACATCATCCCTGCGACGCCATTTTCTTTCTCTTTGTCCTTTGTCCGGTGGAGTTTCAGGGTGTGAGGGCGCGCCGTTGCTAGCTCCGTCTTTATTCCGATGTAATTTCTCTCACAACGGTGGCACAATGCTGAAACTGCTTCCAAACTTGGGTAGAATCGCCCAGAACTTGTTCAAAGTGTCTGAAAGGACTGCAAGTGGAATAATAGCTAATTCACATGAAAACTGCCTTATCCCCGGGCTGAGAGGAGTGCTGTCAACCCAGCCTGCAAGAGCTCTTTCCGCGAGTCCAGTATTATCCAAGGTCGATGACCGGAGAGCCATCAAAGTTCCAAAGAGGGATGAAGGAACAGAAGGGGAAGCAAATATTGGTCTAGACTACCAGCTATCAGGTGAGTTATTATAACTACAAAAATCACTTGTATCCTGGCTGAGCTGCAAAGTCAGGGATTCAAACTTTGCACGAGACCGGCTGCTGGCTCGTAGGGGTTGTCATGTGTTTCATGAGGAAGTGATGGAGGGATTGTTGATGATCAGGCTTTAAACTTCTCTGTCTCCAGTGTAAGCTCTCTTGATGGATTCAAAGGAGAGTAGCTGATGAGAAGATGCATGCGTTTTGACATGCTGAGGATTGATCAGGCTGATTTGGGCACTCCCTGTGTGCAAGGTGGTCTTCCTTTTGTAGTTAAACCCATCTTTTTTCTGTATTTTAGTGCCATAAATTCTACTTTTTCTGCTGTAAAATTCTAGACAATTTTTACAAGCCTTATCTACATATTACCTCCACAAGTAGTTTTGGTCATGGGAGGAATTATTTTTCATACTTGGTACTTGGTAGTAACACATATTCTACTAACAAGTGTGATAATGCATTTAAGAATTTTATAAACTGCACAGTGTTGTAAATTTCAGATCTAATCTTCTCCTTTGTTTGACTAGGTACCTACTTGATAGTGATAAAGGCTACAATCAAATTGTAGAAATCATACTGTGCTGTGTATCTCTTGTAATGGTGAAAAAGTAATTACATATTCCTTTCAGAGTAGCTGAGACATTTCCTGATGAAAATACTCCAAATCTCCTGGTGGATGGAGTCAAGTTCTCTGAGCTTCCCATCTGCAATGTGAGGGTCACCAAGAACAACACCGTGTTCTCCATCACAACTCCCAAAGGTGAGATCTTGATCTGAAAATGGCCCCATCTTCAACTGTGCCTAGTGCTTTGTGAGCATTGACAAATTCATGAATAATTATTGATTTGGTAATATTATTCATTGACATTTTGTAAGGTAATATGAAAGGTTACTTACATGCTTCACTTTCATTCTAGCCTTACTAAGCATCATTCCAATTTGATTTAGCATTATCAGCACTCTTTTGTCAGTACTGTGCTAGCTGTGTTTCATTCATAAGTTCAGTCATTGTTGCTAATGTTGTCATTGTTTATTTTGTTCCAGGAGTAGTGAAGATGGTGAGGTCCTGTGGAATGGAGGGCTTCAAGAATGCCAAGAAGGGTACAAATATAGCTGCTCAGGCAACTGGCATTGCCATGGCTGTGGTAAGTGATCAAAAACAACACTTGTGGTGATTTTTTAAAATCTTAGTTGTCATTTCTCCTAGCTTCTGTAATAACTCTTAACACACATTGTTTTGTGCATATTCTTGTGTAGCTATTGAAATAACAATTTTGGGGTTAACTGTTAGTGTCAGTGAGGATAATAATAGAACAGCTACAAGATTCTGTAATAATTAGGAATATTAAAAAAAGCATTTGCTTAGGGACACACTGTTAGATAAAATAGCAGCGAGTTGTGAAATCATCATTGCTTGTAAAAAAGCATGAGGTGTTTTAAGGCTGGAGCTGACATTGCCAGTTGTTACATTACAAACTTACAAAAAGCAGTGTAAACAATCAAACAATATCAAGAAGAACTAAATGATTTTGACGATTTTGTGTAGCAATAACCACTTTCGACACCCAACTACAGCTGGTCACCCTCGCTGACATGATGTTGGATTTTTTGCAGAGGGCGGTGAACTTGGGGTACCGCAACATCCGTATTCGGCTTCGAGGCCTGGGACCAGGACGCATGGTGAGTACCGATTATAATATTGTCTGGAAGAGGAGGGGGGGGGGGGGAACTTTCAAAGGGCTTAGGGTTATGCCAGAGGGGCCTTTGTACACAGTAGGTATTGTTCTAAACTGCGTGCTGCCTTACAAGTAACGCTACCTATTTTATGTTACTGATTCACCTGTTACCATTTGTTCCTCATTCATTCATTCATTCATTCACTCATTCATTCACTTACTAAAATAGTTTGCATTCATTCACTCATTTGATCATTCCATTCTTTCATTCATTCATTCATTCAATCAATCAATCAATCATTCATTCGTTTATTCATTCATTCATTCACAAATTTTGCCAACAGGTTAATGTATGGGGAACGCCCCTCTTGTTAGCGTTGTTTACATCCCACTGCATTGGAATCTGTGTATTGAATCTGCTGCTGTTGCAATTGTCTGTTGATGTGACCCCGAACAAGGTCGGCCGCCATTTGCGGCGGCCGTCCGTGCCGCTGCTGCAACCGCCCACGGATAGCGGACGGCGCCGTCACGTCATCGCGTGTGTGCATGCAGTGTCTGTGTTTGTGTTTGTGTTCCGAACGGGAGAGGCCCGTTTCACACCCGTGCTGTGTGCTGTCACCGGTCCTTTAATCCTGGAGCGGGACCTAGCGGGTGGGTCTCATCTCAACGCTACCAATGAAGAAAGAGCGTATTCCGATCCAATTTCCCTTTTTATCGAGTTCATTTTGAAGGAAGAAGGGATTCTGTTGAAGTTTGCAGCCCTGAAAAATATTTTGAAAGGTATTTGTTTTTTCATTTGATTTGATGCGGTTGACACTTGCAAGGATCTTTGGCTGGTCCTTATGTTAATAAAGTTTTAAATAATTGGCGTATTTCAAAGTGGTGCTCACATTCCCAAACAGACGGTAATCTATCGGGCTAGGTGATCGCGTAAAGACGGGGTTGTTTGCCATCATTAGCGAACCGTCACCGATCTAAGTTCTAAGGTCAACCGCCAACCGGTGACCTCTGATCAGGTCAATGATCCCAAGATCGCTACCGTTTCCTTTGTAATTTACTTTTGCAAAAAATGTCCGCAGAGCAACGATTTTGTTACTGTCGCGTTGTCGATATCTAATAGCGTCAAATAATGTATTTTGTGCATGGGGTGGGTCGACTTGCGTGGTGACCTCAGGTCAAGGTCAGGCTGAACCTGTAAAGTGAACTTAAAAAGTTTGTCGACGGAGGTCATGTTGCATATTATTCATTTAACAGGTCATTTTGTCATTGGTGATTTGCCTACTGGCGTATTCAGTTTTATAGCTACGGAAAGTCTGATGCCTGAATTACTCCAAGACATGGCATCTCCGCATTTTGGACCTTGACGTCAAAATACAAAACGCAAAAAGGAAAAACTAAGCAACGGACCCCGAAAGTAGAGTATAAACTCAATAAAGCGTACGCGCTTGAAATAGGATTTGCTCATTTCCGGCGCTAAAGGGGTAGTTGGCGTATCCCCCCCCCCCCATTTAGGTCATCCATTGAAATATAAGGCCACGTGTGACCGCCTGACCTCAGGTGATCTTGATGAAAGCCGAGGCATGCAATTGGTAAGGACCCGTGAGACTGCTTCTTCCTGCTGGTGTCAAAGGTCTTTCGAGCGTTGCAAAGATGCGATATTATTGGACGACGTAGAGTTTCACGTACATCATGTCAGTGACGTCTTACTAGACATTGAAATACGGTTGGTGCCAAACGATACGAACCCAAGGTCATGCGAAATTCCAGATCACCGTGTAGCCAGCGTCACTGTTATATCCATGGGGAGATGGGGGGGGGGGGGGGGGCATTTTAGCAAACACCCACGCGGCGCCCGAAATCGACGAAATTTTTTTTTTTTTAGACTAAAAAGATAAAGACTTTTATTGGGAATATATTGTTTCAACAGCGTAAGCAATCGAATTCCAAGGGGTCTTTGAAATTCAGAGAAACCTCTTTTTTTGCTGATCACGAATTTCATGTTAGTTTTGATCACAGATGGTGTCTCCATGCATTTAGGCCATGTCGGGTCAGGTCAGGACAGGTCAACTGGTAGGCGTTCTACCAGATATTCATAGTAGGTGTCAACCACCACCGAGAGCTTCGTAGCATGATATGAAGGCACCCAAACTACTTCGTAAATATTCATATGGTTGCTAAATTCTAAAGAGGCTCCAAGAAGTAGCCTAGAAACATGTAACACTCGAAAAAGTGAACCAAGGTCATCAAAGGTCAACTTCTTGACCTGACCTTCAAGTGACGTTGACACCCACCATAACGCATGAGACCAACATCATTTCACATGTTTGAACGTTTCAAACCACAAAAAGACTGCAAACGCGCGAATAATGTGAGCCGACATACGCTGAATCGCGATTCGGGCCAAACATGGTCCCGAGAAATAGGTCACAGGTCAAAGGTCCTTTGTTCGAGGTCATGAAATTTTCAGTGTAGGTGTAAAATTGATCAGCTCGAGGACTGAAAGTTTTGTCGCGATCGGCCGCTTTTCCGCGATTCATTCGCGAAAAACCGAGGGGGGGGGACAGTTCGACCACCCTATAAGTGCGAGGGTTAACTGACTTGCTCGCGGTCTTTTTTTGGTGGTCTCATCCTTTTTACCATGTATTAGATTATTTCGATGGATGCGGATGACCGCTGATAGACGTGTCACATGGAAAACGAAGCAGTTTACACGTGCGCACGTGCAGGTTGGCGCTTCCATACTTTAACTAATTTTCTAGTTATCCGTTTTTTTTTCACTAACAAAATGCGAGTAGACTTCAGGCCTACTCGCATTTTGTTATTGAAAAGTGGCCGGATAACTAGGAAATTAGTAAACATTTTTTATTTTGCAGTGTTTGCCCAAAACGACCGGGCCGATAAGGGTCAAAATATGGCAATCCGCTCGTCGCCGGTTAGTAGTGTGCCGTGCAGAAGTCAGTTTGAAGTATCTCCTCGCGATTGCGCACGCTCAGGGCTCAGAGTTCCTCTCGCTTGCTCGTTGGTCGCGTCGCCCCAAAAGGCATCTTAATGATGATATTATGGAGCTTAATTTTGAAGTTCCGTTTTTGCCGAAGAATTTAGAAAAATGAAGTATTTTGACATAGCGTTAGTGATGCTGTCTTTGTCGCAAGTGCCGAACTCTTGCTGAACGCTGTTCAAGTTCTGTTTACATAGCTCAAGCCCATTTAATTTGGAGTTTATTAGGTACTAGCGTCGAGCGAGCGAGAAAAGTGAGATCATTCGTAGATTAACGAAATTTTTCGACTATCAGCGGTGGGGCGTGGTCACGTTTTTAAGAGGCTTTTATCTCAATAACCTCTGTCTGGACTGATTCATTTGCGATCTTTATTTTAGGGGGTCTCGACATCACTTCTACCAATTATTGGACTATTCGCGTCGCTATGTGTTTTGTGTGTGTGTGTGTGGGAGGGGGGGGGGCGAGGGGGCAGGAGTGACGCCCACTGCACGTGCCGCGTGTCGGTTTTAAAGATGTATCGGTTTTGTAACAATTACAATAACTCGGTAATTTCTGGGCCGATTGCGCTGAGAGTTCGCATGTAGGTAGTTACCCAACCCACCGTGCAGTATATTCCATGTGTCGTGGTTGGAGTGCTATTGCACGTGCGCACGTGCATGGGCAGCTTCCACATCTCGTAAACGGCTCGATGGCGCTGAAATTCGGTACACAGTTACGGGCCGACGAGTGGGGTGTCGTGCAAGTCAGATGGGACCCAGTTTTCGCGTGCGCAGGTGCAGGAAGCTGCTTCCACACTTCGAGTACGGCTGGAACGATTGCGCTCAAATTTGGTACACCGTTATGCTACGGGTAGTGCTCAAAAGTCAGTTGCCCGCTCACAAGTCAGTTGAGGGTACCTTTCGCTATTCCGCACGTTCATTGTTCACTATCACGCTCGCTCGCTTGTCGCCCGAAAGGCGTCTTACCGGAATTTATATATTGTTACGGAGCGAGCTGAGCGAGCGTAGTCGTTCCTTAAGGCCGGAACACAGCTTTTAAGCTCGCAAATCGCATCTCGCTTCTCCCATTGCAATACATGGCATATTTTCAGCTCCCAACACGCAGGTCGTCTCGCTTTTACGCCGCGAAATCACGCCAGATCCCGCTCGGAAAACGCGGGCGAAACGCAAGCAAAATCAGTCCGGCGCGGGTTGCAAGCTGAAAAGTTGAATCTGTTTCAACTTTTTACGGAGCGAGCGAAGCGAGCGTAGTCTTTCCTTAGATTAACGGAAATTTCTGAGTATGAGCGGCCGGCCGGCCGGCCGGCCGGCCGGCCGTGGTCACGCTTTTGCGAGGCTTATATCTCAGCAACCACTTGACCGATTTACACGCGGTAATTTTTGTAGGGTAGCTTCATTCCTTCTACCAAGTATTGGACTATTCCCGATGCATGTGGGTGACCCCTTATGCACGTGCCACGTGCAAAACGAAGAGGTGTCACTTTTGTAATTGTTGCAATATCTCGGTAACTACTTGGCCAATTGCGCTGAAAGTTGGCATGTAGGTAGGCACCCACTAGGCACTGCATATACATGTGCCAGAGTTTGGGTGCTGCTGCACGTGCGCACGTGCAGGGGTCGTTTCCAGATCTCGAGAACGGCTGGACCGATTGCGCTCAAATTTGGTACACGGTTAGGGACCGGTTAGTAGGGTGCCGTGCACAAGTCAGTTGGGACCCATTTTGCACGTGCGCACGTGCAGGGTGCCGCTTCCAGATCTCGAGAACGGCTGGGCCGATTGTGCCCAAATTTGGCACATCGCTAGAGACCAGTTAGTAGGGTGCCGTGCACAAGTCAGTTGGAGGTACCCCCTCGCAATTTCGCACGTGCAAGGCCCACCCTCTCGCTCGCTCCGTTAGTCGCCCCAAAAGGCGTTATACTGGTAGATTAACGGAAATTTCTGAGTATGAGCGGCCGGCCGGCCGGCCGGCCGGCCGGCCGTGGTCACGCTTTTGCGAGGCTTATATCTCAGCAACCACTTGACCGATTTACACGCGGTAATTTTTGTAGGGTAGCTTCATTCCTTCTACCAAGTATTGGACTATTCCTGATGCATGTGGGTGACCTCTTATGCACGTGCCACGTGCAAAACGAAGAGGTGTCCGTTTTGTAATTGTTGCAATATCTCGGTAACTACTTGGCCGATTGCGCTGAAAGTTGGCATGTAGGTAGGCACCCACTAGGCACTGCATACCCATGTGCCAGAGTTGGGGTGCTGCTGCACGTGCGCACGTGCAGGGGTCGTTTCCAGATCTCGAGAACGACTCGACCGATTGCGCTCAAATTTGGTACACAGTTAGGGACCGGTTAGTAGGGTGCCGTGCACAAGTCAGTTGGGACCCATTTTGCACGTGCGCACGTGCAGGGTGCCGCTTCCAGATCTCGAGAACGGCTGGGCCGATTGTGCCCAAATTTGGCACGTCGCTAGAGACCGGTTAGTAGGGTGCCGTGCACAAGTCAGTTGGAGGTACCCCCTCGCAATTCGCACGTGCAAGGCCCACCCTCTCGCTCGCTCCGTTAGTCGCCCCAAAAGGTGTTATACTGGTTTATATAGTCGTGCGATATTTTTTTTTTTGCTCGGTGCTTGTATTGGTTAAATTCTTGATGCCACTATTGTCCGTGTCTTTGGTTAATTTCGGCAGTTAAAGTGTAAACATAAAAAAGCTATTGTTCAAATAAGTTATAAAGTTAACGAATCTAAAAAAAGATGTCTACACTCAAGATGCATGCTGGGTTCACGAATCAAAAAGTGGCATCCGCTTTTGGTGAACGATATGGAGCTCGATAGATTAAATTTTAAATGACAATCTTATGAGGCAGTTTTTTTTTGGGGGGGGGGGGGGCGTGTGGTGTGAGTGAATGATAACTATTGAAAAAGTATTGGATAGTTTGGCATGAGATTCTACACATTTTGTCCTGAGGCCTCTTGCACCAAACTACCTAGCTAGGTAAAATCGAAAAACCGGTTTCAGAACAAGCTAATCTAACAGTGGTAAATTTGTTTGCAATAGCCCAATACATAATCCTACATGTGCTTGCTAAATGTTGCACGCAAATTGTTACATTTGAGACTTGGACTGGGTATACGATGCAAAATAATCCAAGCAGTGGTGCAAGAGGATTTTGGTGCAAGAGGCCTCTGCTTATAATAGGTCAGTAGGCAAACGACCTATGCAAGCGATCTGTCTGTCCAGTGTCCAATCTTATAAAAGACTATGGTTAGGACTGAACACTTCGTAGTGGGCTGCACTTTTCGGCAAGCAGTGAGACTGTAAATGATTATAAGAACATTTTTATTCGGTGTTTGCCTACTGCCTTGCATTGAATAAATATGTATGGATTTCTGTATTGAGCTAGTTTGCCATTGGATCGCTCATTTTTTTTTAACTTCTGGTTTTTAGTTCGATAGAATTTATGGACATTACGTATTGGGACAACACGCAACTTTCTTTATCCAATCTTGAGTTATCTTTAGTTTTAGTGAAGCTGTGTTAGATGCACGCCTTGAATTGGGAAGTACGGTGCACCTTTCAGCCTGACGCTTGACACGTTTTTATGATAAAAATGTTTGTGCACGTGTGCACGTGCAATATTTGATACAAATTTTTCGATAAAACGAAGCCGTTTGTGCATTGCAATGAGAGCGCCGGGTGTAAGCGTATTCTACTCTACATTTCATCAACTTTTCATGCATTTGGAATGCCACCTAAGGCTACTCAAAAAGAGATAGGTACAGCGTTGCTGATTTTCAAGATATTTTCGAAGTCATGCAGTCATTCCAGGCCTCATCGCTCGTTAGCACCGTAACCTTCTTCGGCGAATAGGAAGCGCAATTATTTTTTTTTCTTTTTGGAAGTCGGGCCAGGGTCTAGCAGGGATTTTTTTTTAAAAGATGTCTGCTCGTGAGTGTGAACCAAATGTAAGGAATGAAAGGCTTTCTCCATTTACGGGCGCTAAAATATGGTCAACATTTTGCACGTGCATTTTCTGGTACTGCTTTTTAGTTTGAGTCGAAAGGTGGTGTCCGCTTTCTATATGGCATAGGTATATGATTTGAGTTTATTGCCATAAACCCGATTTTTTCCCCAGTACCTAATGGTGCTAGAGATGTTTCGAATTTCAATCTTTTGTATTCTTATGTATCCTTATCTTCCGGAATGGTTTTTGTATCGCTTCTTACATGTTCCTGAGTTGTCTTAATGAATTGCTTACCTACAGTTTGGTACAAATTTAAGGGATCTTTGATTTTACTTGTTCATAGGTGCGTGCGTGTCTCAAGATCATCCGAATAGAGGATCTTGGGATCTGACTTTGACTCTGATAATTTTTTGCCTTTTTCCTGTTTTCTAGTCAGTAAGTCTGTTTACTTCTCTGAGCATTGGCAGCACATAACATTCAGCCAACTGAAGGCTGTTCTGTGACTTCATGATATTATTTGCCACCAATGAAATTGTTTTATGAAACTATCCTCGACTTTAAAATAAGTTTATCGGATCGTGTCTCCAATGTGGGCGCCCATGGAAGGTTCTGAGGGTGGGTGCCTGCAGTCCACGTGTGCTATCAGACATCAGCTCAGCCGGTCCCAAAGCCCTCACAGCCCTCTGGTGGATGTTTGAACACTACAGCTTTCAGGCTGCTCCACCGAGTGCCACTGGGTCCCATAGTGGTGGTGATTTTCTATATCGACTGATTAGAAATGTTTGATTAAATGAAAAACAGGGCTTGGGACGTCTTGGTGCACTGAAATTTTATTCCTTGAGTTTTCCTTACCATCCAACTCTTTCAAAGCGCTCAGTCCCAGCACGGGTGTTCCCCGGCCTCCCTCCCCTCCCCCTCCCATGTTACTGACGGGACGTTGTTCTTTCTTTGCAGAGCTCCATCAAAGGGTTGGAGTTGGGGGGACTGAACATCATCTCCATCACAGACTGCACCCGGGTAGGGTGGAATGTGTACCGACCTCGGAAAGCCAGGCGATTGTGAGAGGTCAGAGGCGTAAGTGGTGTCATCCTAGAAGGGAAGTCAAGTGAAAGCGCTAGTGCAAAGTGTCGTTCATTGTGTATTTTGTCAATAAATTCAACAAAACCTTCAAATTTAACTTTGCTCATGGGCTGGGCGATGATTGCATTCACACTACACCACATGGGGGGATCAACAATAGGGACCCCCTTTCCCCCAATAGCACCCACCCCTGTCGGGTTTTGCCGCCTCCTCCGTGGACTGCTAGGCGGTGACGTCACCACTCGCGCTGCATTCTGGGTAGCGGCTGTTGGAAGCAAAATGGCGGCCGGAGACCTGACGTGTGTGTAAAGTGCGCGTATAGCTAACGGTTATTGCGGTGATAAGGCGTGTGGAAGTGACCAACGTTGGTGAAAATTTTACAGAATATTCATTTAACATTGGTGAACATAGTTTGATTAGCGATACTCGTGGTAACTTGTGATATTCGCCGGAAAAGGACCGTCGCCATATTGGGACTTGGTCCAGTGACTGATATCGACTTGGAACTGCTTGTGATGATACGAAGGCCGGTTGAAATTTTCAGGATTTAATCAGCAACCAAAAAAAATCGTTTTATTCATTATTTATATACCACTGAGTGACAAATAACACCTGAACCGGGAACTTGTAATTAGTAACAGTTCCTGTCTGAAGAACCCAGCAATGGAGGTGAGTGTGACCTCCACAGCCTCTTTCGGCCCAGCTGCTGTGCTTTTCAGGCCCTGTTTTTAACATTTTGACCTGGGAACTGTTCTCATGGGAATACTGTTGTGCTATTGGAGATCATTTTATGCAACTTTTGCTGAATTTGTTCTCAAAGCTACTCCAACTTGTGTGGGGCACATAACCTACATGCTTATTGGATTATTTTTGCACCATTTTAATGCATTTCAGTCTCATTTGCTTACACTATTTGTCACTCTTGACTGTTGTCTCTTACACATTGTCAACTTGTACGAGAGACATCAGTTTTCTCAGTTTGTTGATGATGTCCAGTGTCACAGGCTGATAGTTATGTGGGTATTAAATGCATTTTTCCAGAAAGCCAGTGGATGTTCCACCAAGTTTTCAGCCAGACTTAACTCTCCATTCTACTGGGCAACTGCTGACATGCATTTTGTAACTTTTTAGGTCGGACCCATCTGAGAATTACACCATTTCTTCTGGACACTTAATGCCTGCTTGGCTGCTGTATAGGCTGTTTTGCCCCACCTTTTCTGACAATTTGGCCTTTTTATTGTACTGCTTGTGCATGAAATTGGTGTGAGGTTATCAAATCCTATAAAAATGGAGTTTGGTAAATTGAACATTTTCTCAACTCAACTTACAAATCATACATACATACTGTAGGAACTCCATCTGGTAGTTTCTGCAAACATGCCCTTACTCTCTGGATATTTTGTACTTTGATGCTGATTGTTGGAGTGCTGATCTTACAATTGAAGCATTATTTAACCTTATTTTGGCAATATTGCTTGTGATTAAGCAGAGTTTAAATCTGTGCTTGCAAGTTATAGACTTGGTGCCATATTTAATGTAAATGATTTTGCCAACCACTGGTACTTCAGATGGTGAAAACTACACATGTCTGAGCAATATAGGTAATTTTTATTACTGATAAAAGCTTTATCAGTAATGAATTAAGTTCATCTATAATCTGAAGTACTAAATTGTGTATGCCTTAGGTACTCATACTAGGTTGAGTCTGTCAGCACAAATGGTGCAGCAGCATTGCTTTCAGAGCTGTGCAACATTTGAAATTGAACATGCTTCAATATGTGTATCAGCGACTATCGATCAGAATATGATGATAATGCTTGATATAAGAACTGTATCTCCAAAATATTATAAGTGGCTCATTTGAAAGTTGAGTTAATTACTGTATTACCATACATTAAAATTGGATCATCAAGATTGAGGTAAGGGTCAAGCTCAGACAATTTTGTTTTGCTCAATGTTATAATTCTTACAGGTGCTCAAATGCTCCTTTCATTTATATTGATTTGGCGTCGGAAGCCCTATAGTCTTCCCCAGTATTCGTATGTAACTAGAGCAGGCAGATATAAGAATATTGTTGATGGCACGACTGCAAATATTCATACGAGTATTCATACAAATATTCTCGTATTGCTGAATAGTTTTTAGCACACAGGCAGTTCTTTATTATCATTGATTGATTAAACTCTTAAGCTTAAGCCCAAACTCAAACGTCTAGTTAGGGCTTACCACTGACTTCTAGTTATAACGGTCACATATTCTAATTCTATACATACCTTTTGATGGTGTAGCTTTATCGTTGCGGATGACGTTTACAGGCCGGGCGCCCCAAAACCTCAACATATCCAAAAGGCACAGATACACATCTAACCAAAACTGCGATAGACCGAAATGTTTCTCATCGAACCATCACCGAGGCAACGCACAGACCACTCTCTCCTCGGGTTTGGTCTTCTCGAACTGGGATTCCTCAGAGTCTGGGAGGACTACGGTCACAACGATCAGTTTTCCTGACACTTGTGCGTACAGCTTGACGGGGAGAGGCTTAACGGACTGCTGTTGCTTCCAAAGTCGGATGACGCGTCGAGGACCAGACACGGTGCTCGAACAGAGCGGCGTATTCTCACCATTGTACGACTCGCACCTAGGTATATCGGGATCTCGTTTTTAGACGTTTGCATGAATTTCTGCACTGGCGTGGACTTGTCGAGCTTATGCATTGCTATTCTACACGTTTTCACTAGGCTGGTGAGTTGGTGACACGTGGGAGAGCGCAATAGTGTGGATCACTAATCGGACAATGTGGGACTAATCCTTGGAAAGTGCGTTGTTACTCATTTGCAACTCCAAATATTCGATTTATACCCAAGCGTTTAGGTAACGGAAAGGTTGGGTGAAGTGGGTCTGGGATTTATCGAACCTGTGTTACCCTGGTGGTCGCGGAGGTTACATTTCCCCTGCTTTCAAGTTTCAGGAGAAAACACGTACGAGCTCACAACTAGAAGACGAAACCACACGAGTTCAGAACGATAATTCAGAATGAGGAAGTGAGCATTGGGCTGTATTACACCTCATGCGTTTGGTCATTTTTATACTGATATCTTATTTTGTTGCTGAGTGGTACGCTTTGATGGATTGTCTCTACGATGTGTTATTGTTGCTGTCATTTTATTTTAAAAGCGACCTACTTGTCCTGCTAGGCTCGTGAAAATTATGAGTCTCCGCCTGATCTGGGTTCAGCGGGGACACAGGGGTGCGCACGGTATTTTGCGCACGACGCAACACAGCAGCTCAGTAATCATTCACTGCTGACATGAAACTTTAGGGCCTTGCATGAAACTACTCGTGAATATAATTCAAACGACACTCCGCTTAGTGCCTCCTCTCGACGAGACACAGCTGCCTTTTGCTGGGGCAACATATTTGAACGCGTAACATCAAATGATTGTATTGATGCTCAGTCACTGTTAGTTTTAAAAATGTTTTAAAACGATAGAACGACAAAAAGCTGTGACATTCTTTTATATCTAAGCCCATGCACATTTTATTTCATTCCTTATTGTCATAACATTTTATGAACATGGCTCACGGAGCTCGGATAGAATGTCACCATATTATAACTTTGTGCGCTGTGCAATTATCGGTTAATTGCCTAAATTGCATGCGTCACTGATTCGCTTCTACGTTGTGTAACACGAATGGGGAAATCTTTTGGCCACTAATCGAGCTTGAGCTTTGCGGTAAAAAGGGGTTGCTGCTCGTAATGAGAAGAATACGATATGATATGTGATTGTTTTCTTTGTCATTTAATTTCGTCTCAGGTTATTACACGAGTATTAAACGACCGAAATCTCGAAAATGCCGGATTACAGCTACAGCTTTGCTATGTAGTAAATGGAGTTCAAAAATAGTTCCAAGGGGGGACTCGATAGCCACAATTGAAATCAGCAAACAAGTTGCAAGAAAAGTCAATTGGGGGCATCCAGGGTCATTGACTCGCCTAACCCTCGTGTGATCTTCATCGTTTCTTGAGTCCATGGGAAATAAGTCAGTAGACGTGTGACGTTTTTCTCTTTTATCATAAAAGCTTGCAAAAACAAAGGCATCTAATAGGTGGAGACGGTTGGATGCGTCGTTCAGGCTGACGTGTTGTTGATGATTACGTCGCAGGAGAGGTCATTTGGGTCAGGAAAGACGATATTTGTAGACTAGAAGCTCAATTTTGTACAGTTAGGAACCTGAGAGTTTTGTTGCATCAGCCACTTTTACACAAGTTATGTGCATTGTGCAATAAGAGGTCTATTCGACAGTGTATAGAATAGTCCATCTGTTCTCTCCATAAATATCAAATTCTAAATGCAAACAGGGTTGTCATCACCCCACACCTGCAAAATTATAAAGCGATGGACCACGAGCGTCATCATAATAGCAGCGGTGTCAGTCTGCTTTCCCAGAAAGCCCGTTTGAAAAAAAAAACGAGACAGCTGCGGCAACCACTCATGATAAGCCGCGTTGCCCTCTTGCTACGGCGTGCTGCAATCGTTCAGGTAATATTCTTGCGAACACGCTACCAAAACCAGTCCACGGGACATGCTCAATGCTCAACGCTCGCCATACCAGCCCCATTATTTGCACCATCATCCTGCTGTTAGGACAAACCCTCGCTCCGACCCGTATTACAAAAACCCTGATCCGGCGCCAACGGACAATGCCTCGCTGCCGGCCCGGCTCGACGCCGCGCTCAGTAGAGGCCCCCGGGGCCGGCGCTCCTGGCACTGAGCCAGCTTGGCCGGAATCGTGCCTCGTGCCAGCCCCCCAGCGGGGAGGGGCCATGTGCGGGTATTGCGACGCTCAGTGGTAAGCAGCGGCGGCAGCACCAGATAATACCGGCGCGGCAGCAGGGACCTTGGGTGGCACGCCGGTCGCGCCACGCCGGGCCAATCGTCACTCGGCGCCAGGGACGGTTGTGATTGGTGAGGCCGATAGGCGCGACACTAGCGTCTGTCTGCCGGGGGCGGTCCGGCGTCTGCCGTATTGATTGTCTACATTCCAACTAGAATCGAGCCGTACAGAATTAAGGCCAGTCTGTTACTTGAATGGGTGCTACAGAACTTTGACTTTTGGGGAGTTTTCGATCATCGTCGATCATCGTCAATCACCGTCACTCCGCTACTGTGTAACTGCTCTCTGGGGGAGAAATACGATGATGGTCTACCGCCAGCCTCCTCGCCGCCTTTCGCCCAGCCGGCTGTCAGACGCCGAGGCCCGAACCGCCCAAACCACCGCGCCAGCTGGCCGGCCGCGGCGAGGCGCCACTGCACTGGTGGGGCCTCCCCGCCCCACCTCCCTCTCCCCTCCCCCTCCCACACGGCGTCCGCTGCTGCTGCATGCACCGCCACGATAGCAGGCTGGTCCGCTGTGTTAGGTCGACTCGCTAGCTGAGCTACGGATGGGGCGAGCCACCGGTATATTGAAGAGTGGCGGTGCGGTGACGGCCCGGGTCTGTGGGACAGGCGGAACTGGTTCGTACCGTTATACACAGCGCGACGGTGACGGGAGGCTGGCGTGCAGGGATGGGATGCCGGGGGGGGGGGGGGAGCGGATCGATCATCTGGCTAACGACAAACTGACTTCTGGAGCATGACCCGTTGACGTTAGCTCCTCGCCACTGCCGTTTTCCCTCCAAGCTCAGTCCTTTCCATTCACCTTCAATCTTCTTAGTACCGCTTAGTACCGCCATGCCTCGCAAGAGAAGAGCACTAGACTGAAGAGAACTAAGACACCATCGAAGTCGGACGCTTGAGCGCCCTAATCCAACAACAACAACAAATTAGGTCAACCATGAGACCATAAACACTGATAATTTGGAGAGTTTGTGACGATCTAGAGAAAAGGTACAGTCAACCAAAAACGGAATCATAGGTAAATCTGACACATACACGGAAGCTTGAATGGTAGGACCCGACCCTCCAGCGTGTTTGGGCAATCATGTTATCGCGTAGGGCAGCTGAAGACGTCACTTCACACCGGATGGCTATAACAGCCGCACCCCACTTCTGCTGTTATCGACTATCGACTGGCATGCACGGATCTGCACGTCGCGCGGGGGGAGGAGAGGGAGGGGGGACTGATGCATCACTCGTCCGCTGTGAGCTCCACCGTAGTATGGTGGGCAGAAGCCACTGTCGTGGCGCATCCGCACAGTATGGTGCGGTGCCTACAGAAAGACGGACACCCGAGCAATGGCTAGCCTTAGATTACTCATCTTCCAAGAGCTTCACTCCAGACAATAAGTGCGCTCGGGTCAGGGGTGCGTTCACCGTGGTGAACCCACGTGAATCGCCAGGATACACGATCAAACTTTCCGAGATGTGCACAAATAAAAATGATTCATGAAAAAGGGGTTACGCGAATGAATTGTGCGGATCTCCGACGCCAGAAAGACCTTGCAGTTGGAGATGCGAAAATGTGCCTTTTCCAATTTTAAGTCACCAGCATTCTAGGATCGGCAGTGTGCTGGATGAACTGGTAGAAGAGCTTATATATACTAACTCAAATATTGAAAGTAAACGTAGTTAAGATTAAAACTTGGAAATTAACCATTAATCAATACCCCTAAGAAGTTTTGATTTAGTGACGATACCACTATCCCAATGCAGTGTTCCCAGTCTGAGCTACAGGGGTCGTGACAAGAAACAGTGTAAACTGTGTATGTAAGAAACCCTGTGTAAAATTAATGGGACTCGTATAAAATAAATAAAAGCAGCATTAACTTGAAGGATGTTTCACTTGCTGCATGGGAAACACTACCCGTACATTATAATTTACCTATATCAATGAAACTCATCTGGTACTAAATAGTAACGCAGGCGAAATAAAGCGCAACCGAGAGCAAGTTCTTTCACTTTTCAAGAACAATGGCAGACCTCCGTTTCAACCAGCCAACCGCCCCATCAGGCAGTCATCTTGCAGGTAAGCTGCTATCACATTTTTATAATCATCTCCGCCGGATCTGACAGCGATCCCTCCTTTTGGCCTTCGTTCCCCCACAGGACAGCGACTCTGACTCGGATAAGTCAGCAGCCTCCGAGCACTCGGCCGCCTCCGAGAAGTCTGCCTCGGAAAAATCAGCATCGGAGAAATCCGAATCGGATAAGTCGGCGTCCGATAAGTCAGCCTCCGAAAAGTCGGCGTCGGAGAAGTCTGCGTCTGAAAAGTCGGGCAGCGAGCAATCGTCATCTGGTGGAAGCGGCAGGTAATTAGACTGATGAATAGGCGGAGGCGTCACATGCTGTTAAACACGGGAAAGGTCATATGGTATAGTGTTTGGAATTGCGAGACGTACCGGTACAACACATCTTCGTCTTTGTCGGTGTTGCTGAAGTTGAAGGCAAAACGTAACCTCCAAGGCATCACGCCCTAACATAACATCCATGGCATCAATTAAAACTTGGCTTGTTCTTGAAGAACGTTTCCGTAAGTCTTTCTATTTTTGTCCGCACTGGACCGTAGTGCCTGGGCGTAATAACGTACTTCTGTTAAACTTTGTGGCAAAATAAGTACTCCAGTGTTACATATCTTAGTTTTCATCATATTTTTCATAAGCTCGTGTACCAGACGTTAAGCAATTTCCCTCCCTCTTGCTTATCCACATTATATTTTTATATTTCCTTCCCCCCAGTGATTCGGGTGATGCCAGCAGCAACAGCGATGACGAGTCGTCCCGTCCCGCGGCGCGCTCCGAGGGCAGGCGCAAAACGGCGCGTAATTCAGACATCAAAGAGGTATGTTGGGACGCGCTGAGGGATGTTGGTTCCGGTTGCTGGGCTGGGGGAGGGGAGGATAGGGTAACATTGGTGATTGGGGCACGTGCGGGAATAGCGATCAACAGAGGAAGCTGGAGAGGTAAAGCTAAACGATTTGAAGGATTTTTTTTACAACATTTGCAAACAGCGGGTATGCTGCCTCTTTCTCTGGCCCATGCCTTGTTTGTGATCGGTTACTTGATGTGTAAGCTGGCGACAGGCTACCGCCGATTCGTTGGCCCATGAGCTTGTCCGCTGAACCTGACTGTAACCCTGACCCATAACCGTGCCTTATGCTCCTCTGACTGCTGACTGTGACCTTTGACCGCCGACTGTGACCCTCTAACCGCCGACTGTGACCCTCTGACCTATCATCTAACCCCCACAGGCGTACGAGGAGAACCCGGACGTGTACGGAATCCGTCGCTCGGGCCGGGAACGGAAGGAGCCCGAGCGACTCACCGCTAAGGAGGAGGCGAGCCGAGCGGCCCGCGCCCGAAGGAGGTCGGTAAACCGGTTACTGGGGAGTGGGGGGGGGGACGATGGGGGGGGGGGGGAAGGGGGGATGGGTAGGACGCTGAGGAGGGGAAGATGTCAGTGCTGGTTGAGTTGCATTATGGTGGCTGGGCTATCTCAAGCGCTTATGCTTTGGACGGTTTATACAGTTAATGAAGCTGATGGTATATTCGTCGTGACATAACATCTTCGGTAGTTGGAAGTTGGAACATTTGACTCGTGAGGATAGCTTATACTCGTAGCTATTGTTACTGTTGACGATAATGTGGCCCTTCTTGGGATCGGGAAGGGTTTCAGGAGTTTTACTCTGGCTGACTCTGACTCTGATTTCAGGTCGAACGCAGTGTGGGGCAGCTCCGACTCCGGCTCGGACTCCGACGTCTCGGAGCGTCCCAAGCCATCCCGTCGGCCCGGCGGAGGCAGTAAGAAGCCGGCGGCTCGTCAGAGACCTCCCGCCCGCCGCCGGCAACTCTCCGAATCATCAGAGAGCGGGTCGGACAGTGACACCGTCAGGTCAGTTACAGCGTCAGGTCAGTGTCGGACAGTGACACCGTCAGGTCAGTTACACATGTCAGACAGTGACACCGTCAGGTCAGTTACAGCGTCAGATAGTGACACCGTCAGGTTAGTTACAGCGTCAGATAGTGACACCGTCAGGTCAGTTACGGCGTCGGACAGTGACACCGTCAGGTCAGTCAGAATGTCAAATAGTGACACCGTCAGGTCAGCTACACATGTCAGACAGTGACAGCGTCAGATAGTGACACCGTCAGGTCAGTCACACCGTCAGACAGGTCAGTTACACATTCCAAAAGTCAAAGTGTGTCGAATTAGTGTCGAAGAGTCCATTTACACTGCGATATAGATCACTACAAGTGAACACAATAAAGCAATCAGTTACTTATTTTTTTACTTAGTAGTTCTAGCAGCGTAGAGTGTGATTTCGTCCACACTACTTTTCTTCCACATTTCTACCACCCCAGGCCCCATGGGTAGTGGGTACCCGCCACCCATCAACCAGCCCATTCGATCCACTCTCTCGCCACCTACCCTCCCGCTCGCGGCCCGCCGCGCCCGCCAGCCGCGCTGCATCCCGCCGCGTATCGACCCACCGTCCGCCTCTGTCGCTGCCGGCGTCTGGCACCGTGCCAGGGTCAGCTCAAGGTCACAACAGCTGACCGCCCGACAAACACATACCACCTCCTCCCCCCTGAACCGTCCCACCCCCTCGCGGTAGCGGGCGGCGTGGGCTGCTGCAAAATATGAACGGTGGCCAAACGGGGTAGTTTGCAGCGTCAGAGGTCAATGACACTGGCGTTTAGAAGGAAGGGATGGATGACGGGGGTTCAATGTTTATGTGCTGCAGGGGCTACTGGGCGCAAGCTGATAAATGCCGTAGAATGGCAGCACTAGCTGTAGTTCAGCTGCTATTAAATGCAAAATGGGTTTAGCGCATCATCTGAGTCCATCGTATGTTGATGGCCGTCGTATAGTGACGGCTCCCTATGGTAGCATTCTTCAATGTTCATGTTACCAAATGTCTTGAATAGTAGTGCGGCAGTTTGTAAGATTTTGCCCTGGTGGGAATACGAATATACCGGGCCAAACCGGTGTGTGCGACGAGGCCTCGGACCGACATGGCGGCCGGGTGTCATTTGATGGACTTAATTTCGCTGCCTGTTCTGACAGATGGGACGGGAAAAAGATGGGACAGAAAGATAGGATACGTCTGGCGTGTGTGGTGCATAGACAGACGGCTCAACTGCACCCATGAACCTGGCCAAGGGAAGCTTCAGGACCGTATTTTTTATTAATCGACCTTCGTTTTGTGAATAATTCGTCGACAAGGCAATACAAATATCGCTGCCTTAGGCGTGTGTCTTCGTGCTAAAAACAGAAAATGGATGGGCGTAAGCTAACCTTGACTGGTCGCGGTTTCCCATTCTGCTGAACCCTACCCGGGGGCCCTGACGCAGGTAACTGAACCCCAGTCCGGATGATATCACTGACCCCTGCCCGTTCGCCTTAACACATGCTCCTTCGCGTCAACTCACTGTTCCTCTAAAGTCTAAAAGCTGACTTGTAACCCCACGTTATTCCAGTCGTAACATCAGCCGCCGTGGCGGGTCACGGGTCAACTACCAGGAGGCCGAGGAGGAGGCCACAGACGAGGATGACCTCATGGAGGTGGATCCGGCCCAAGTGGCCGCTGCCGAACAGGACACCGGCGAGACGGTCGAGAGGGTGCTGGCGGACCGCGTCGGCAAGGTCGGAGGTCAGTGGGGCGGTTACTTGAGGGGCGGGGAAGCTGTCCACACAAGGTACGGGGTAATGCTAAGGGAGTTTGTCGTTGAGTCATAGAGTCATGACCCAACCTTGTCCGCTAACTTGATCTGCTCCGGCATGACCCACCCTGAGGTGATGTGACCCCTGGCCTTGATCTAACCCGATCTGACCTGCCCAGGTGTAGGCTCTGGCCTTACCTGCCCTGCCCTGACCGTACATGCGTAACCCTTGACTTACCTGACCCGAACTACCTTAGCCTGATGTGACCCCTGACCTAAACTGAATGCGCTGACCTGACCTGACCTTGCAGCGACGGGCGCCGCCACCACCGTCTACGCCGTGGAGGATAACGGAGACCCGAACGCCGATTTCGACGCTGACGACCCTGATCAGCCCCACGAGACCCAGTACTGGCTGAAGTGGAAGGGTTGGTCGCACCTGCACAACACTTGGGAGTCGGAAACCACGCTCAAAGCGCAGGGGGTAAGTTGGTGGGGCCCTTCGATCTGGAGAGAGTAGGAGAGTTACTTTCGGTGAGAAGTTACCAATATCTTTAGTATAAGGGCATCCTAGTGGTCAATATTTTTTATTGCCTGTTGATTCCATATTATGATGGTCGGAGGCGCCCAAAATATTCAAATACCTAATAGTCTCTATAATGAACTCCCAATCCTGGTCTGACGCTTAGGGCTTATGCACCGCTATTTCGTCCGATTCCCATTCTATATTGAGTAGTTAAACGGACTGCGTATTGCTTAGTGTATTCATCAGTCTAATCAGACGCATGGTGTAGCTGGTCGGACCTTTTAGTGTATTCAATGCGGAACCACATCCTGTAGTTGGCTAATGGCCAATCTGGACGCAGACAATACGTAGATCGGTCGTTTGTGTGACTATTGGAGTGGATCCGGTGGATGGTTATGTAGTTGGTTGACTTGCTTACGTGGATCCTTCGTTTCTAGTCACATCCTATTCTCACGTAGTTTTTAACAAAGGCAGACAGGTAGGCTCAGGGGGCCCGAACAGAAGGACCAGGGGGCCCGAACATTTAACAGTGAAACCTTAACCGACGAATAAAGCTAAAGAAATGAAACCATTTTATTGATTGCATGGACGTTTGGTAGTTAGTGTTTTGCTTCGGACCTTCTAGCGAGTGCATAAGCTCTAATATGTTCATGCTGTCAGAACTGATGGGACAGCTGCTTTTCATCCGGTACCTATTTTTTTCGGTCAGGCCCTGAAAGACGGAAGGCCAGGTCCGTCTAGAAGTAGTGTCATGTTCCTGTGCTCAGCACGTCTTGAGAGCTGCATACTTCACCTTATTTTAATAATTTACTAGTTGGATACTGGACACCGATAGTACACCCTGGAAATGTGAAACTATTCGTGTTGTACTGCAAGGCTCATTAGCGAGTCTGAGCTGGTTTAGCTTAATTCATATTCATTCGAAACACATCTACAGATATTGCCATGTGGTGTCGTTCTCTTTCACATCACGTTAACAAGCGATGTTAGTTAAAACCTCGTTCAGTGGCGGGATTTGGCATCCTTTTTCCTTCATCACCCATGCCTCTGGTGGTGCTTATTCCGGTTAGCTGCTTTGTTGCGCATGACTGTAGCCCTCCACGACCTGCGAGACATCACCCGGAATCGGTCCGGCACCCACGACATTCCAACCATTTAGGCGGTAGTGTTCCGGGCGATCCGCTCGCTGGGTGCTGGGTTTGCATGCTAGTTGTAGGTGGTTTGTCACTTGCTGTCCTTGCATGCCTGTCGGGTGAATGTAGGTGTTTGCATGTTGGTTGTACGTGGCTGGTCACTTGCTATTCTTGCATGCTTGTCGGATGGATCTCGTGTATGCGGCCTGTTTTCCACAATCACAGCTTGTAACTTCCGTGCCAGACTTATTTTTCGATCAATGACGACTAGGCCTTAAAACTGTCCATACAGACATCTTTCCTGTTTCTTTACTTTTCAAGTCTTTTTCTTTGCTTCTTTCTGCGCATGGTTTGGTAATTTTAATTCTGTTTGATGAATAGAAGTTCCTCTTGGCGTACAGCCATACAGCTCTCCTTTGACACCATCATTCAGCCCTCTGGATGTGTTAGAAGGATAGGCATATACAAGGTAAACTAACGAGGCTGCCGCAACTTTCATTCCAAAATCGGGATCAACTGGGAGTGACCAATGTACATGTTCCTATCGTAGGCGACAAGAAGCGTGTGCTAGGAGCTTGCGTTTGCGCTCCCTGACGAACGCGCCCCTGATACCTTGCGTCTAGGTTTTTCTGCCGTAACTCATCTTTAACGCTGCATGAACAGACTGTTCTCTATTCATGCTGAGCAATAGGCTACCCTCTCATAGCTCCATAGTGAAATTAGCTACAGACAACCCACCCAGGTAATCATGGTTTGGGTTACCGTCCCATCGTGTCCCTTCTCTCTGGGCGCGAGCATGCGTCCTGACGCTGTGTCTAGGCGTGGTGCTTGGTAGAATGGTGTTTAACTCATTGTCCGGGTGAACAGGCCTCGTGCACTTAACTCCCCCGGTTCTGACGTGATCAGGTTACGAATTTACAGGATTCTTGACAGGATTCGCTGCGTTCTGATATGCATTCTGCATTTCTCGTGTTGATATTTGTGAATTATCGAATTTGGAAAGAACTATGAAATGTTAATGATAATTCGTCAAGTTTGATATGAATAATAATGTTTTGATTGTTCTTCTTGTCACCTGGTCGCGTCTAAACTTTGCACTTCACCGTCTTAACCACGCTTCGGCTGCGGAACTGACGCTTTGTGCGGCCGCCGACCGGCCCGCCATCTGTCGGCCGCGCGGCAGGCTGTGGTTCCCGTTCCGTCCGCCAGATCCCGCCACTCATGCCGCTGTGTTCGCCCGCTGCCGCCGCTGTGCCGCAGTATTATGGTTTGCAGGTGAAGGGTCTGAAAAAGATCGACAACTACAAAAAGCGCCAGGAGGAGGTGAAGGCTTACCTGGCCGCGTGTGAGCCCGAGGACGCTGAGTACTTTGTGTGCCAGAATGAGCTGCAGGAGCGGCTGGTGGCCAGCTACCTGGAGGTGGACAGAATCATCGGTGAGGCGGCTGATTGGGGACGGCGGGACTATTGTGATGGGGTATCATCATATCATAGTGAACGCTTGCGCCACTGGGGTTGCTTGTAGCGTACTTGCAGCGGTTGTAAGCACCGTGTTTGAACTGGAAGTGGTTGAGCTCGTTAAGCTTTGCTAGAACCACCCTGCGCTTTGTCAGAAGAAAGGACAGTGGGGTGGGAATAACAGAGGGTAACACTGGTTCGGGCTGTGTTGTGGAATAGTAAGCTTGATGCTCTTGAGTAATGACCCGAAAGCACAGCGGGGGCTAGAGTCAGGGCTGAACCCTGTGTGATTTGTAATGTAACCCCCATTTACTGCTGCATTGTATCAATGTCCCCCTCCCGCCAGGCGAGGGCCCCAAGCCGGGCCACGAGTACCCGGACTACCTGGTCAAGTGGGAGAACCTGCCGTACTCTGAGTGCACCTGGGAGGACGGAACGCTCATCGCCAAAAAATTCGAGCACCGCATCGACGAGTTCGTGGCGCGCAGCCAGTCGCGAAAGACGCCCACAAAGCTGAACGCCGTCTTAAAGCGGCGGCCCAAGTTTGTCTCCTTCAACAAACAGCCGAGCTTCTTCAATGGAGTCTCGGTATGAAAGGAGAGAGGGAGAGGGAGGATGGGGAGGAGCGAGGGAGGGGAGGATGGAAAGGAGTTAGGGATGGAGAAAAGAGGGCGATGAAGGTAGAGAGGCATGGAGGAGGTAGTTGTAAGCCGGGGGATCAAATATGAATGGGGATGTATTGCTTCATTGGGTCATAGTTAGTTATTTTCTGAGATGGCACATGAAAAAACTGTTGACTATTGCAGTAACTGTTGTTCTTGCAATAACTGTTGACCATTTGCAAGAAAGCGTTTCCTACTTGCTGGGTTTCAGCGGTGCTGTTGGCTACTGGCAGTCGCATCCCCCGGTTAATTGCTCCTTACGCCCTTACCTTCTGATTGACCTCCCCCTTCCCCCTTCTCCAGGGTGACCTGCGTCTCCGCGACTACCAGCTCGACGGTGTCAACTGGATGGTCCACTCATGGTGCCGAGAAAATTCCGTCATCCTGGCCGACGAGATGGGTCTGGGCAAGACCATCCAGACCACCTGTTTCCTGTACTATCTGTTCAACCAGTACAACCTGTACGGACCGTACCTGGTAGTGGTGCCGCTCTCCACTCTGCCCGCCTGGCAGAGAGAGATGGCCCGGTGGGCGCCTGAGATGAATGTCGTCACCTACCTGGGAGATGTGTCGTCACGAGAAAAGGTACGGAGTGTGGGCGCTGAAGGTGGGGTGGGATGTATTCGTGGAAGGAAGGGGGAGGGGGTGTAAGACTGGAGTGCTTTCAATGACTTGGTGTCCTTTTCACATCAATGACTTGGTGTCCTTTTCTTTTTGATACAGTTATTCTGGTTGGCTATCTGTTTAAACCCTAGAGTGCTTTCTGTTAAGTGTCAAAGGGGCGTGTTTATGTGAAGTTGTTGTTTCCATTCGTGCTAGGTGCAGGCCATTGAAATCATATCTCTAAATATGCCAATATGCCGGTGGCGATGATAATGTATACGATGCTATTAGTCTTAAAGCCAACAATTTTTCATTGTGTATGCGCTTGTTTCTAGTTGCAGTTTAACGATTTAATATAACTGAGCTGTTTCATCCCATTTCCCCAGATTCGTACGTACGAGTGGTGCTTCCCCGGCAACAAGCGATTAAAGTTCAACGTGCTGCTGACCTCGTACGAGATTCTGCTCAAAGGTATGTGTAATATCGTGCGAGTCTGACTGCGACCTTGACGCGTCTGTATAAGTCTGCTTGCTCCCATTCCCTCCTGCCATATCACTTCTCGGTCCTTCAGTCTCGCGTTTTTATTGCGTTCAGCATGGGGAACGTAATACTCATAGATAGTCGGACATTTCACCCACCGTAGACATTATGATGCTCATGCAGCCATTTATACAGTCTTTCCAACGCTCTTGGCTAAGATTCAAGCACGTCCCTGAAACCCTCTCAGGTGGGTCTGTAGCCCTGTGATAAATACGCGCTGTAGCTGGCTGCCGAATGCAATGTTCTTCTTAAAACTACAATCCCCACCACTTGTCATACTCGTCACCAAGTGATGTCATATCCTGGATGGCGGTATACGTCACTATACATACATAATGCTGATGACGCCTAGTCCTCGCCCCTGAAACTCAAGCATCTCATGCATAGTTTAATGTGGGGCGTCGGTCGCATTTGGTCAGGTGGTAATGCGAAGTGGTCGTTGTTGCGACGAGTCAGAGCATTGGTGCTAATCTCATTTTGGAGACTGGAGCGTGGGTATGACGTGTGGATGGTGACGAACTCTCTTATGACGAGGTGGGGACAGTCGAGGGATTTTCTGTCTCACGTCACGGAGACGCATTGGATGTTATGGATTGGCTAACTGGAATGCTGGGATCTTAGAACCTCGGCTACACACTGCTACGAGCTGACAAACTGGGGTGTTACAGATTGACGGCTTTAGATATTGCGATGACAGGCTGAGGTGTTTCAGACCGACGGGCTGGGATATTACGAATTGTGCTGATTGCCTCGCCACAAATTGCCTTTATGTAATAGGAACAGCACTGAGTCCATTCCCCCACGGTTGTGTTTAAATGGGGCAATGAGGCGTTCTTACCGATTTCTGTCAATATTCTGTCATTTAACCGCGCTCCCATCTTCACCCCCACCCCTCGGTCGGCAGACAAGTCGTTTCTGGGCGCCATCAGCTGGGCTGCTCTGCTAGTCGACGAGGCTCACCGACTCAAAAACGAGGAGTCGCTCCTCTACAAGACTCTGTTCGAGTTCAGCACCAACTTCAGACTGCTGATCACAGGCACACCGCTGCAGAACAGCCTGAAGGAGCTCTGGAGCCTGCTGCACTTCATCATGCCCAACAGGTATCTGAACCGATCCGAGGAGGGTTGAACGGGGAGGGAGGGTTGAGAGGGTTGCTTGAATCTTGGGTCTGATGTTGCTAGGTGTGTTGGAGGAATCACTTCTGGCGTTTTTGTTTACCACTTTGACATGGGACGTGGCACATTACCATAGTATTTGAGTGTTTATTGATATTTATTGCGCCGTTGTTTATGGGTTTGTATTCATTGTCTTTTTAAGATAAGTCATACTTACCGGCAGCAGGGCCACTACGCTGCTGCATATCTTAATTACGGTTCTGTAGGTTATGTGAATACCGCAGCTCACCCCACCCCTTTCCTCCCTTCCACAGATTCGACCGCTGGGAGAACTTTGAGGTCGACATGGACCAGGGCAGCAAGGCCTATGCGCGACTGCACAAACTGCTCGAACCGTTCCTTCTGCGCCGCGTCAAGAAGGACGTCGAGAAATCGCTACCAGCCAAAGTCGAGCAGATCCTTCGAGTGGGCATGACCTCGCTGCAGCGGCAGTATTACAAGTGGATCCTGACGCGCAACTACACCATGCTGAAGAAGGGTCTGAAGGCGGCGGCGCCGTCCCTGGTCAACGTCATCATGGAGCTGAAGAAGTGCTGCAACCACGGCTACCTGACCAAGCCTCCCGATCCGGACGTCAGGCTGGCAAACAACGAGGCACTGCAGGTAGGTGTGAGGGCCGAGGCCATCTACCAGTTTCTGGTACATTCGTGGGATGTGTTTTACATACGTGTGCCACATATTTTTGCACGAGCTTGTTATTCTGTTAAAACTTGGACTATTATCTTGCACGGTCATTCCCTCCTGTCTGCTAGCCCTCCCTCCAGCTAGCCCCTCCATACGACAACCTTCACGTCCCAGCCAACTTTTCCTCAAAGGTGGCCAAACCACTCCTGCCCGACCTTTCCTCGTTTCTCCTGTGTCACATCCATGCTAGCCCATTCCTCCACCAAGTGACTGCCTTGTGTCGTCGCTAAACCCTCGCCATGACTTCCCCACTCCTGCCGACCCCCACACTTTTTCCCGGAGTACTGCTAGCCCATCTGAATTTTTCGCTTCTAACCCCTCCCCACTCTCCCCCAGGGTCTTCTGCGTAACAGCGGCAAGCTGATGTTGCTGGACAAGCTGCTGGTGCGGCTGCGGGAGCGCGGACACCGCGTGCTCATCTTCTCACAGATGGTGCGCATGCTGGACCTGCTCGCCGAGTACCTGCAGCTGCGACACTTTCCCTTCCAGCGGCTCGATGGCGGTATGCGCGGCGACCTGCGCAGACAGGCGCTCGATCACTTCAACGCTGAGGGATCGCAGGTTCGTGGGGCGTGGACTGGCGACGAGAGGGAGGATATGGGGAGAGGACAGGAGTCAGAAGGGTTGTGGCCTCTGGTGAAAAATGGTGGCGTGGGTTCTTTGGATTTGGTGGGACTGAAACCCAGATTCAGGAAACAATGGATGACGTCATTATTTTGAATTTTATTCCATGTTTTCTTTTAGATTTTGTGTTTGTTAATTAGCTCATCGGCCACTGAGTATTAATACGGATTGTGATGTATCATTATGGAGCTAATCCTATCCCGTTCTACCCGAACCTTGCCCAAACCACTGCTAGTGCTCACTCCCACACTTTACATCCGTCCCATTTCTCTCGTCACAGGACTTTTGTTTCCTGCTGTCAACCCGCGCCGGCGGTCTGGGTATCAACCTGGCTACTGCCGACACCGTGGTCATCTATGACTCGGACTGGAACCCTCAGAACGATCTGCAGGCGCAGTCGCGCGCGCACAGGATCGGACAAAAGAACCAGGTGGGTGGGGTGACTCCGAGGGAAGGTGTGGGAGAGGGGGAGGCTTCTGCGCTGTGATATGACTGAGAGGGAGGGGGCGTCAGTTAGTCGAGTGCGTTCCCTTCTAACTTTTGCGACTTTAGTAGATTACAAGTGCGAACTGCGCGTTTGCAGTTACTTTCCATAGCTGCCTGCGGTGGATATCTAAGAATGTACTCTCATCTTAGTACACTGCGTGGTTTGATTTCTGATGAAGTCACTCAAAGAACGCAATGCCAATGATTGTGCCCACTGACACTCTCGGCATTCGACGTTTCTTAGATCGCAGCGCTCTTTCAATCTCATGACCGAGGTGATTATCCGATTTATTCATTGGTGATACCAATACCATCGTAATGCCGTCATTGCTGACTAATCCTATCACTCGCTTTTCGTCAATGAGGTCATCTATGTGACGCTCATCCCATCCGGTCGTGTCTACTAGATCAGATTTTTAAATGTCCTTGTCATTGAGAATGCCAGTGATGATCGAGGAGCGATTTCTGGAGATGTATTTTATTAACGGGTGTGGTTGATAAGTTAAACAAATGCGCCGTGAAATCGGCGCAGTCACCAGTTTTAGCATGTGACGCATTTAGGGGTTAACAGAGCAATATTTGGGTTAGGGTGGCAAGGTGTGTGGAAGGAGAGAGCCGATTTACATTTTCGCGGGGGGTGATGGTTATTGCGGTACGAATGAACCTCACTTTTTGTTCCCCATGGGCATGGGAATGTCAGGGTATTTGGGTGTAGGGAAAGGACGTCTTTTTATCGGTTTACTTGTGCGGCTTTCGTTCTCTGCCGACCCCGGGTTTGAGTTAGCCAGAGATGGCTAGAGTATGACCATGTATGACTAAGTGGTACTCATTGTACTCTCATGGGTCATGTGAGTCAGAGTACCTCCTGGTTGAAAACTTTTTGTCATGCATTTTTCGTGTCAAGTTTACGTGGCCCACTTAACCGGGTGTAACCCAGAGTTGTGCTAACGGGTTTGGAATTTTAAACTAAAACGTTGAACTAACTTCCCACGCCTTTTATTTTTTACCGGCAATTCACCCACAGAGAAAACATGAGTCAGAACTTCCATGACCTCACCACTGCTGCTGTTTGACGCATGCTTGTCGGTGATTTGAGGTAATACGAGAATTCAATAATTTATTATATTGTTGCCGATCACAATTTTTACAGTTTTCAAAGCTGATACCGAAACCAAACACCACCAGCTATGAGGTGATGCCTTGGAATCCGGTTGCTCTTTTTCTGATAGGAGACATAGTTGAAGATAGCGGTTCGAAAGCTGACAACATCCGTGACGAAAACGGCTGGTGTAAATACTAAACAGGAAGCCAATTTTTTGAAATGCAAATAGGTGGCCGACCCGGGGTTCGTTGCTCGAGAAGCTAGTCGTCGGCCCATGTCAGCTTTTCAGGGAATATTTTTTTGTTGTTACGATGTGAATAGATCACCGGCAGGTCACCCGAACACGTTCGTCTTCATATCTGCACGAGCAAGTTTGTCATTTTGAGACCGCCAATGTTTTCTCCATGTTGTCTCATCCTCGACATGGAGCGACAAATGTTCTCCTTAACTTGAAAATACCGTTTGTCCCTTTTGACAAATGTATCAGGAAGTTAGAAATTGCTCTAACCGGTCACTCAGGTTTGCATATTGACATATGGGAATCTCTCTGACCTGTGACGCTTTCAAGCTGTATTCGACATTTGTTTCACATAACCGCACTCATTGCTCATATACTCTGCCTCATGCGGACGAAGCTGTAAGCAAATGCACTCTCTTCTAGCGATCTAACCTGCTTGGAATAAGTTCCTTTGTGTCCGCTCTGGGAGTTTCATAGCAATGCAAATCGACGTGAATTGATGCACGAACACACAAAACAATTCTAGCCTGCTAGAACAACAGCATAATGTGCTCCCTTCGAGTTGTTCAGCTTCCGATGCTGAGCGTCGATAAGCGAATGCGTCGTTTCTGCGAGCTGCTTTTCATCTCATGAATGTTCGTTTCCAGGAGCGATGAATGCCGTCCAGTTCAGGCGGGTTTAGTGTAGTCAGCTATGGCAGCAGCGGAAGCATCCTTGTCACATCTTCACGTGCGGAAATGCGAGGAGTGCCGTCAGTCAGCGTCACTTTGATTTACGACGATCGTTATGGGCGGATTGACATCAACAATCGTAACATTCCATGATCTCATCATTCTCTCGGCCGGAATTGACGTCACTGGGTAGTGACGGTTGTGGTGCACTGATGTGCCAATCAATGTCAATCATCTCGTATTAGCGGTGGACCTGCCAATCCGTCATGATCGCGAGCTGGGTGGAAAATCGTTTCCGTTTCATCGCGCTGATACCTACCTTTGGTCGGGCGGGCGAACTTACGTTTTTGTTGCACTGATATATGAAGTGGGCTTCTCATAGTACTTGCTGAGAGAAAAGGGAACCACCTGTCTTTGGTGTCTGTCCTAATCGGTCCATAACCAAAAAGCTGATAAAGTCCCGACAGTTTACAGGTTTGGGAATATCTTTTGGCGTCAAGGGCCTGGAAAAGATTGCGGCGGTTCCTCAGTTGGTAACAAACCCGCTTTGCTTGACAGCGCTTGCTGTTCGTCCACTGGAAAGAGCATTGACACGAAATGAGCTAAACGATGTTTGATGATTTGATCCTGAGTAGAACATAAATGCTAGAATGTTATGATGACGAAGCAATGACTGCTTTCTTGTCTCGGTGGAAGACATTGTCATTGACATTTGGTGACCTATGATGGCACGTGCCCAAGATCACGTCGTTTAAATGTCGACTCAATATGGAAGTGCCAGGTGTTCATAATTGAAATGTGTTGGTTCAGCTAAGCCTTGCTGGCGATAACCTCTCTGCTAACACTATTCTTAGAGACATGAGCGAAGCATAAGTCGAGAACCAAGTGATGCACACTTGGTACTGCGATTTCGATTACGTTACCAAGTCCTCAGGTGTCTCAGTGGGTGTCAGAGGACTCCAAACAAGGGCATGACTCCGAGAAGTTCCATTAGCATACGTTCCTCCTAGCACGACTCTCCTGTAGTCAAGGCGCCGAGTCAACTGAGCCATGGATGAGATACTGAGCCATGGTGTCATATCATCCATGACTGAGCTATCAGACCCTGTGACATTACCATCTGAGTGACGTCACATTAATGCATAGATGACGTCATGGGTTTCCATAACCCCGAGTGGGTGTCACTTTACTCACGGCTGTGCATCCGTATAGAAAACGGCGCTGTCCTTATTATGTCGCGATGGTGTATAGGAATAAGACAGAGGCTATTTTGCAGATGGGAGGCGTGGGGTAGTGTGTCAGGCACCTCCGGATAAGCCCACTCACTTAATATGGGTTTCTCCGGGGAAAGCTTCCTCTGCGGAGAAATGGGACGGCGAAGAGGAATATTTTACGGCGGCTCCTGTCATGCGCTGCGACATGTTCTTTGGAAGACACTGAATCCGTTTTCTTCTTAATCCTTTTTCAGGCAGCACCGTGTGCATGCTTTTGCTTGTGGCTGGTGTATCGATATCTTGCAGAGAAGTTAGATTAGCCAAGTTTTCTTGTATTGCGTTGCGTAGCGGCCACACCCAACAGTATCGAAACAAGGTCGGCCGAAAAGTCGAGGGGCGTATACGAGGGGCGTATCCCTACTAAACTGCTGCAACTAAGCTACTCGCGGTACACCTCCCCCCTTTCAATAGACGCGCAGGTCAGGCGGGAGAGCACAATGAAATATACAAGCTGGCTAAGCGTAATGCAAATTAAGCGGGAACAATAAATGTCAGGTTCCAAAACTTTTACGTGTCGCACCACTTTAGTAATAATGATAGTCCGCACGTTTTGTGGGCTTCACACGACGGCCACTGCGCGTGAATCGCGGAAGCTCGCCCGGTGCTGCTGTTGCTCCTGCTGGAGCTGCTGCTGGTGGTGCTGTACCCGTTCTCTGGGCAGGCTGAGCAGGCGGTGGCGGCGGCTCTGCTGCTGGCAGCAGTTCTTCGGGTTCCTCGGGTGCTTGTGACGATGCCGGAGGCGATTGCGGCGTGGACGACGGTGCACTTTGCGGTGATGCACTCAGCGGTGAGCTCCGAGACGGTTGTGGAGCAGCGATGTCCCAGGATGCTGGTCGGGTAACTGGCGGAAGAGCAGCATCTGGACTCGGGCGAGAATCGGGTGGAATCGGAAGGATGAAACGTCGGTTACGGACGACAGGCGTTTGCGTGGTAGCTGACGGAATGATGAATGAGTTTGGCTGCGCAGCTGGTCCGATGACGCGCACTGGTCCGTTCCAGTGTTTCTCGCCGTCATGACGCACACGAACGTCATCACCCACTGATGGAGGGTCGAGGAGCGCTGCGCCATGCCTCTTGTCATATCCCTCCTTTTGACGAAGCTTTTGCAGATCATGATGATGCTGAAGTTCGATGAAGTCAGGCCATTGCGGCTTCATGTTCACCGGATGAATTGGTAGTCGGGTTCTCAGATTGCGTCCCATGAGCAGGCGTGCTGGACTGTGTCCAGTGACTTCCAGTGGAGTATTCCGGTATGCCAAAAGCGCCAGCGTCGGATCCGGTTGCTGAATGATACGTTTGGCTGTCTGAACAGCACGCTCGACAGCTCCATTGCTTCTCGGGTTGTGAGGGCTACTCATGATGTGCTTGAAGCCGTACGTTTTGGAGAAGTCGGCGAAGGCTTGAGAAGAGAATTGCGGTCCACCGTCGGAACGAAGAATCTCTGGGATTCCGAAGCGTCCGAAGAGACCCCTGAGTCGGTCGATCGTGCTTGCGCTGGTGGTTGACGTCATGTGAAGAATTTCCAGCCAGCGACTGAAGTAATCGACGACGATGAGGAAGGTCCGGCCCTCACAGGTAGCGAAGTCTACCCCCACTGTATTCCACGGGCCATCGGCGAGCTCGGTGGGCTGGAGTGGCTCTGCATGCTGCCGCCGTCTG